AATTCTGTGTTAAGTTAGGGATTCCCCTCCTTCCAGTCGATAAGCCTTTCCCCGTACATGCTTTAGATAGTCGTCCGTTAGGATCTGGGTGGATTGGGGAGCTCACAGCGCCACTTAGGATGATGACGCAGGGGGGTCATGAGGAGATGATTCAACTCTATCTGATTGACTCTCCTGCGTATCCGGTGGTACTGGGGCTTCCCTGGTTGACTACCCATGATCCTACTATTTCGTGGCGAGAGAAGGCTCTTAAAGGGTGGTCTGCTCAGTGTGAGGGGTTATGTCTGGGTGTTTCCGTAGGGGCGACCTCGGTGGAAAGTCCGAACCAGATGCCAGCACTGCACATTCCTCCTGAGTATGAGGATTTGGCACTCGTGTTTAGTAAGACCCGAGCGGCACGATTGCCACCTCATAGACAGGGGGATTGTGCGATAGACCTCCAGACAGGAGCCGCGCTTCCGCGGAGCCATGTGTATCCTTTGTCACAGGAGGAGAAAAGGGCAATGGAAACTTACATTGCCGAGTCTCTGAGACAGGGATACATACGGCCCTCTACTTCTCCCGCGTCCTCGAGCTTCTTTTTTGTGAAGAAGAAGGATGGAGGTCTGCGTCCGTGTATTGACTACCGCGGTCTCAATCAGGTGACTGTTAAATATAGTTATCCACTTCCGCTGATTGGGACTATGACGGAGTCATTACACGGGGCACGGTTCTTCACAAAATTGGACCTCAGGAGCGCATATAATTTGGTGCGCATTAGGGAGGGCGATGAGTGGAAGACAGCATTTAGTACTACCTCCGGCCATTACGAGTATCTCGTCATGCCATATGGGTTAATGAATGCTCCATCAGTCTTCCAATCGTTTGTAGATGAAATTTTCCGGGACATGCAGGCGCAGGGAGTGGTGGTGTACATCGATGATATTCTGGTGTACAGTCCTACTCGGGCCGAGCATGTAGCCCTGGTGCGCAGGGTATTGAGGACTGTTGGAGCATGACCTGTATGTCAAGGCTGAGAAATGTCTGTTCTTTCAGGAGTCAGTTTCCTTTTTGGGTTACCAGTTGTCTGCGTCAGGGGTGAGAATGGAGGTGGACCGAGTGTCCGCCGTGCGTAATTGGCAAACCCCAACGACGGTTAAAGAGGTGCAGCGGTTTTTGGGTTTTGCGAATTACTACCGGAGGTTTATCCGGGGTTTTGGACAGGTGGCAGCTCCCATTACGTCTCTTCTGAAGGGGGGTCCGGTGCGCTTGCAGTGGTCGGCTGAGGCGGACAGGGCTTTTGGGAGACTGAAGGACCTGTTTACCTCGGCTCCGGTGTTGGCGCACCCGGATCCCACTTTACCTTTCCAAGTTGAGGTGGACGCGTCTGAGGCCGGTATTGGGGCCGTTCTATCTCAACGCTCGGGTACACCACCTAAGCTCCGCCCCTGTGCTTTTTATTCTAAGAAGCTCAGTCCGGCGGAGCGGAATTATGACGTAGGGGACAGGGAGCTGTTAGCCGTAGTACAGGCCCTAAAGGTGTGGAGGCATTGGCTTGAGGGGGCTCAGCACCCTTTTCTCATTCTGACCGATCACCGTAACCTGGAATACATTCGGGCAGCTAGGAGACTGAATCCTCGCCAGGCTCGATGGACTATGTTTCTCGCCCGGTTTGTGTTTAAGATCACTTACATCCCTGGGTCCCAGAACGGGAAGGCAGATGCTCTGTCCCGCCGGTATGACGCGGAGGAGAGGTGCGTGGAGTCCATTCCCATACTACCGGAGTCTTGTCTGGTGGCACCGGTGGTGTGGGAGGTCGATGCGGAGATCGAGCGGGCGTTACGTACCGACCCTAGTCCTCCACAGTGTCCGGTGGGTCGGACGTACGTCCCGCTCGAGGTCCGGGATCGGTTGATTTATTGGGCTCACACGTCTCCCTCCTCTGGACATCCGGGTATTGGTCGGACGGTGCACTGCCTTAGTACGAAGTACTGGTGGCCAACGTTAGCCAGGGATGTGAGGGTTTATGTCTCCTCCTGCTCAGTGTGTGCCCAGTGTAAGGCACCCAGACACTTGCCCAGGGGTAAATTACAGCCCCTGCCCGTTCCACGACGACCCTGGTCTCACCTATCGGTGGATTTTGTTACCGATCTTCCCTCCTCACAGGGGAATACCACCATCCTGGTCGTTGTGGATCGGTTCTCGAAGGCCTGTCGTCTCCTTCCCATGCCGGGTCTTCCTACTGCCCTACAGACCGCTGAGGCTCTATTCACTCACGTCTTCCGGCATTACGGGGTACCCGAGGATATAGTGTCCGATCGAGGCCCCCAGTTTACCTCCAGAGTCTGGAGAGCATTTATGGAACGTTTGGGGGTCTCGGTGAGCCTTACCTCGGGTTACCACCCGGAAAGCAATGGGCAGGTCGAAAGAGTCAACCAGGATGTGGGTAGGTTTCTGAGGTCATATTGTCAGGGCCGGCCGGAGGAGTGGGCGAGATATGTGCCCTGGGCCGAGATGGCACAGAACTCTCTCCGCCACTCCTCCACTAGACTAACCCCCTTTCAGTGTGTATTAGGGTACCAGCCGGTTCTGGCACCGTGGCATGAGAGCCAGATCGAGGCCCCCGCTGTGGATGAGTGGGTACGGCGCTCGGAGGAGACGTGGAACGCTGCTCACGTCCATCTGCAGCGTGCCATACGTCGACAAAAGACGAGCGCCGACCTACACCGCAGTGAGGGGCCAGTGTACGCACCTGGAGATCGAGTCTGGCTCTCAACCAGAAACCTACCCCTCCGCCTGCCCTGCCGGAAGCTGGGTCGGCGGTTTGTGGGGCCTTTTAAAGTCCTGAGGAGATTGAATGAGGTGTGTTACAGGTTAGAACTACCTATTGATTACAAGAATATTAACCCCTCATTCCATGTGTCTCTCCTCAGGCCGGTGGTAGCTGGTCCACTCCAGGACTTCGAGATTGAGGAGACTCCTCCGCCCCCGTTGGAGATCGAGGGGGCTCCGGCGTACACTGTTCGGACCATCCTGGATTCGAGACGCCGGATGGGGGGTCTCCAATATCTCGTGGAGTGGGAGGGGTACGGTCCGGAGGAGCGGTGCTGGGTGCCGAGGAGGGACATTCTGGATCCGTCCCTGATGACCGAATTCCATCGTGGTCATCCTACGCGCCCTGCTCCGCGTCCTCCTGGGCGTCCCCGAGGCCAGAGGTGGCGCGCGGCTGGAGCCGCGCGTCAGGGGGGGGGTACTGTCACGGTTTCGGCCGAGGCAGCTCCTCCTCCTTGTTCGGGCGGGTTTCGCCGGTCGTCGTCTCCGGAGTACTAGCTGCCACCGCTCCATGTTTCCTGTTTGATTAGTTTTGTCTGTTAGCCACACCTGTCTTATGTTATGTCTCATTAAGCACCCTATTTAGTTTCCTTGTTGTTAGTGTAGTGTTGTGTGTAATTGTTTTGTGTCAGGTGTTTGTGCGTTACCCGTGTTTCGGTACGCTATTGCTATTTAGCTTCCTCCTCGGTTGAGGAGAGTTTTGCGCCCTGTGTTGTGCGCTCGTGTTGTGACGCCTGTGTGCGTCTTTTTGGCCTCTGGCTGTTTTGGATTTATTTTGCACTCTCCAGTAAAGTCTTGTTGGACTGTCCATCTGCTTCTGCGCCTGATTCCACACCACACCATTTCTAACATCGTGACATCCAAGTTCGCTGAGAAAGGCATCAAGAAGTCTGAATGCAGCACTGAATAGTTTGAGAACCATTGTAATGTCAATTTGATATTCTACATCGCTTTTCAAGTTATTGTTAATGCATCAGAAGGTTTACCTGCATATATACACTCGGGTCCAAAAAAGAGAGAAATTGCTACTAATACTGATATCATAGGCTAGGCTATATGATAAGTAGACTCTGTATATTTTAAATGTGTTGCTTTGCAGATTTATAATAGAGGAATTGTTAGAGCTTTGCTGTATTGTGGATATTCAATAAAGAGCATTGTAAAGAACAAGTGTTTGTATTTGAGCATGTTGATGAGCATCATTGTTAGTAGCACTAAATGAGGGGGAATTTAACTGAACCAAAATACAGTAGCCTGCTCTCTGACATTTGTCCAGATCCAGAAATTGTTGATCAACTATCCAGGATGTAGGGCATGTTTACTGTAATGTTAATGAATAACCAGAGATGGACCAGAGGTTTAGTTTATATTAGAACTTCACATTATTGAGAACCTTTCATTAGTACGATATGATTGTATTATAAGATTATTCTAAAAGTACCTATTTAATAATCATCCATATCTATATAAAAAATAAAAAATATTGTAAAGAAAGCATGTGATTGGGGATCACATTATTTCCTGGCTAATTTTCTTGTACTATCATATTTCTCTGTATGATGAATTAAAAGAACAGTACAATAGCATGATATATTCAATATATTCATAGTTTATAGTTACAATATTCAATAGTGTTATAAACTTGATTCTTACTACGATGTACAATAACATTTTAGTCATTAATATCTTTGCCAGCAGGTGGAAAGAGAAGATAGAATCATATTGTAATATGCTGCCACCTTGTGGCTCAATAAGTTTGAATATGCTGCCACGTTGTGCCTGAAAGAGCTGTATTTCAACAGTATATACTGAGTGGACAAATCATTAGGAACATCTGCTATTTCCATGCCATAGACTGACCAGGTGAATCCAGGTTAAAGCTATGATCTCTTATTGATGTCACCTGTTATATCCACTTAATCAGTGTAGATGAAGGGGAGGAGACAGGTTAAAGAAGGATTTTCAAGCCTTGAGACAATTGAGGCATGGATTGTGCATGTGTATATTTGCCAGCAGGGAGAAAGAGTTTTATTTCAACAGTTTATTTGTAAAGTAGTCCTGTAGTACCTTACTCTGTATTTGCAGTATTTACAGATACTATACGTACAAATATTGTGTATGGATACACTTCTTATAATATGAGATGATGAATCCAATGATTAGAACATTTCTAGACTACACTATGTCCATCACACATCATCAACACACACCTTCAATATCAAATCAATCACCAATGATCATGTTATTGATAGTTAGTGTACAGTAGCTCTGTTGTCAGTACAAAGCTTTCATCAGTTCTGTGTTGATCTGGTTCAGAGATGAGTGTAGTGATGTAGTTGAGACTATATTAGTCCTGAAGGGCTGTCCACACCAAGAATGATAGATATAATGATAACTGTAATGAGAAACTATTCATAACTATAAAACATTGGCGAGCATCCACACTAGATGACAGTTTATCGTTTATCGTTGTACAATACACCTGTCAATCATCTGATTAAGGTTTAGGGACCCTCCTTCCTCTAGTCCCTGTGGACCCTGGACCCGTGCCGTTTCCCCGCTCTGGATTCCTCATCTGTACCCTCATCTGTGCCCTTGGTGGTGCCCTCACCTCTCCCCTTAACGGTGCCCTCAGTGGCATCCTCAGCGGAGGCCAGGGAGTGACCCTCCGTATGGGGCATTGAGGGGTCCACACAGGGGGTCGGGGGAGTTTCCCAGCCTGCAGGTCGTCTACGAAGCCCTCCACCCTGTCGAACTTGGAGCTGAGCCTTCTCAGCTCATCCTTCAGAGAGTTGAACTGCTTGTAGAGGTCCCCCAGGGCCTCAGACAGGGGCTGAATCCTGCAGAGGGAGAGAGAGAGAGAGAGAGAGAGAGAGAGAGAGAGAGAGAGAGAGAGAGAGAGAGAGAGAGAGAGAGAGAGAGAGAGAGAGAGAGAAATAGAGAAGTCGTGTCACTGAATTGCTACCAACTGGGCAAAAACTGGTTGAATCAAAGTGTTTCCACGTCATTTCAACCCAAAGAATCTATGTGATGACGTTGAATCAATGTGGAAAACTGATTGGATTAGAAAAACGTCATTAACGTAAGGGAATTACGTATTTCTTCATCCAACTTTTTACTTAAATCCAATGACATGGTGACATTTTCTGTTGATTTCACGTCAGTTGACAACTCAACCAAATGTAAATCAAAACTAAACGTTGAACAAACGTCTGTGCCCAGTGGGTAGGTGGTGGTGGTGCAGCTGGATAGTAAGCAGAGGATCACTAGTTCTAGCAGTGGTAGGAACAGGGACAGTGAAGGAAGCTATACTGTTAGCAGTACAGTGGTGCCGGTTACAGAGGCAGAGGCCCAGCAGATCTACACAGGAGAAGAGCAACAGAGAGGGAATTAACTAGATCAGGCCACTGTCATGAAGGGGTCAGTCGAAGGACTATGGGCCTGTTTCCTGGAAACAGTCCTGCAATAAAAATAAAAAAAGCATGATCAATGGAGAATCTCCATTTAAAAAGCTTTTCAGTCCAGATTTAGGCTTCATCTGTGTCCGGGAAACCACCCCAATATGTTTTGAACTAGAAATGCAATTGAAATGTTAGTGCACTAAATTATAACACTACGTAGTCTACACACCACTTTACACATTGTGAAATCCCTATTACAATTTAATGGGCCACGCTGCTAAGATGTAGTCTACACACTGCTTTACACGTTGTGAAATGACAACTACATTTTAATGGGCCACGCTGCTAAGAGGCTAGAATATATTAAAATAAAACATGATGGAAAACGTCTCATTGTGTAATTTGCAGGAAACGTCAGGACAGAAGACATGGGAAACTAGAGCGTCATTAAACATCAATGACATTCTTCATCAATGAGAAAACATGTCTGGCTTTAATGTCAAGCTATGTTACTGTGCGTGCACTGCAGCCTATCCAGGCCTGATATTGGAGAGTGAACGCTTACAGCAAACATGCTGGTACACGTGATGTGTTATTGGCTGCCTGCAGGGCTCAGAGTAGGAACACTGAGTCTCTCCAGGACTGGTTGGATGGCTGCTCGCTAGTCGTCTTTGATGTCTCAGCCAGAACTCTTAGTTCACTGTCCAGAGAGGAGTGCTGATCTAGGATCAGGTCCTCTCTGTCCATATACACTGAATAAAAATACAACCGCAACATGTAAATTGTTGGTCCCCTGTTTCATGAGCTGAAATAAAAGATATGGACAAAAACGTTTTTTCACGCAAATGTTGTGCACAAATTTGTTTACACCCTTGTTAGTGAGCATTTCTCCTTTGTCATGATAATCTATCCACCTGACAGGAGTGGCATATCAACAAGCTGATTAAACAGAATGATCATTACACAGATGCACCTTGTGCTGGGGACAATAAAAGGCAACTCTCTTCCAGAGACACTTGAAAACCTACCTCTTTAAGGAATACCTGGAATAGTATAAAAGTAATCCTTCTACCCCCCCCCCCCCCCCCCCCCCCCCCCCCCCCCCCCCCCCCATAAAAGAAAAAAGTGGTTGTCCCACTGGCTATCATAAGTTGAATGCAGCAATTTGTAAGTCACTCTGGATAAGAGCGTCTGCTAAATGACGTAAATGTAAATGTAAAATGTGCAGTTTTGTCACACAACACAATGCCACAGACGTCTCAAGTTTTGAGGGAGCGTGCAATTGTCATGCTGACTGCAAGAAAGTCCACAAGAGCTGTTGCCAGAGAATTGAATGTTCATTTATCTACCATAAGCTACCTACAACGTTGTTTTAGAGAATTTGGCAGTACTTCCAACTGGCCTCACATCCAAAGACCACGTGTAACCACACCAGCCAAGGACCTCCACATCCGGCTTCTTCACCTGTGGGATCGTCTGAGGGGGGTTGGGGCGAGGGTAATGAGGAGTATTTATGTCTGTAATAAAGCCCTTTTGTGGGGAAAAACACATTCTGATTGGCTGGGCCTGGCTCCCCAGTGGGTGGGCCTGGCTGCCAAGTGGGTGGGTCTTTGCCCTCCCAGGCCCACCCATGGCTGCACTCCTGTCCAGTCATGTGAAATACATAGATTAGGGCCTGATGAATTTATTTCAGTTGACTGATTTCCTTATATGAACTGTAACTCAGTAAAATCTTTGAAATTGTTGCATGTTGCGCTCATGCTTTTGTTCAGCATAATATTATTCATTATGATCTAAAACTGATCCTAGATCAGCACTCCTCACTACTCTGAGATGCTTTGTGATTACAGGCCCAGGAGGCTGCTGCAGTTACAGATGTTCCTGAACTGGGAGACTTTCCATAGTGTCAGGTGCCTACACTTCGCTGCAGACCCGTCATGCAGCGGACCGCTACCTCATCCATCACGTTTGAGTGAACTGTGACTGGCCTGCATACTACAAGTCTGATATCAGCTGTAAAGTTCTGAGTGCACAAAGTGCAGTTAGAGTGAGAGCAAAGCAAGTGTGATTCGCGGTGCAAAGCTGTACATATAATCAGGTTCACACATACTCGTCTGCGCACTTTCCGAGTCTCAAAATCCCCACAAAAAAAGACTCTGGCTTGCTCGGCTCGACGGTGTACACCCGGTCACCTACGTCACTGACTCCTCATCTACTCTCGACTGAACATCAGTCTTCTCTCTCACAAATCGTCGTAGAGTTCTCCATCTCGATCTGCTTCTTCTTCATACTCGTTATTGCAGGACTGTCATTCCAAGGAAACAGCCCATAGTCCTTCGACTGACCCCTTCATGACAGTGGCCTGAAATACTAGTTAATTCCCCTCTCTGTTGCTCTCTCGCCTTGTACTGATCTTGCTGGGTCCTCTGTTCCTCTGCTCAACTTCTATTCGAGCAACGACATGTCCACTGCTACTACAGCTCTCTCATCGTCGTCCTCTCACTGTCTCCTCTCTCCTCTACAGGTCTCGTTAGCCACTAGTGACTCGTGCTCTGGCTTCAACTACTCTCAGTCTGCACTACTCACTCATCTCACTCTCATCTGGCTCATCAGATCTCTTTCGGAATCAATCTTGGGCAATGGTTAGGTGCATTATACTGCTATGCATGTGGTATACATTGATAGTAACATTGTGTGTTCATAATGTACGGGATCAAGTGCAACAGAAAGATGTACATCCAATAAACGTCAAACATTTGGCAGTAATTACAATGTTAACAAATGACGGGTAGGTACTTTACGACTGGCACAAAAGTTCCAAGAAAAGTGAAACGACATTTCATATATCATCTTTCTGATGTCTGCTCTGGTTAAAGTACAAAGGGAAAATAAATTAACATAAATATGGGTTGTATATACAATGGTGTTTGTTCTTCACTGGTTGCCCTTTTCTTTTGGCAACAGGTCACAAATCTTGCTGCTGTGATGGCACACTGTGGTGTTTCACCCAATAGATATGGGAGTTTATCAAAATTGGGTTTGTTTTCTAATTATTTGTGGGTCTTTGTAATCTGAGGGAAATATGTGTCTCTAATAGGGTCATACATTTGGCAGGAGGTTAGGAAGTGCAGCTCAGTTTCCACCTCCTTTTGTGGGCAGTGTGCACATAGCCTGTCTTCTCCTCTGAGAGCCAGGTCTGCCTTCGGCGGCCTTTCTCAATAGCAAGGCTATGCTCACTGATTCTGATCATAGTCAAAGCTTTCCTTAACTTTGGGTCAGTCACAGTGGTCAGGTATTCTGCCGCTGTGTACTCTCTGTTTAAGGCCAAATTGCATTCTAGTTTGCTCAGTTTTTTTGTTAATTCTTTCCAATGTGTCAAGTAATTATCTTTTTGTTTTCTCATGATTTGGTTGGATCTAATTGTGCTGCTGTCCTGGGTCTCTGTGGGGTCTGTTTGTGTTTGTGAACAGAGCCCCTGGACCAGTTTGCTTAGGGGACTCTTCTCCAGGTTCAGCCCTCTGTAGGTGATGGCTTTGTTATGGAAGGTTTGGGAATCGCTTCCTTTTAGGTGGTTGTAGAATTTAACTGCTATTTTCTGGATTTTGATAATTAGCGGGTATCGGCCTAATTCTGCTCTACATGTATTATTTGGTGTTTTTCGTTGTACACGGAGGATATTTTTGCAGAATTCTGCATGCAGAGTCTCAATTTGGTGTTTGTCCCATTTTGTGAATTCTTGGTTTGTGAGCAGACCCCAGACCTCACAACCATGAAGGGCAATGGGTTCTATAACTGATTCAAGTATTTTTTGCCAGATCCTAATTGGTATGTCGAATTTTATGTTCCTTTTGATGGCATAGAAGGCCCTTCTCGCCTTGTCTCTCTCAGATCGTTCACAGCTTTGTGGAAGTTACCTGTGGCGCTGATGTTTAGGCCGAGGTATGTGTAGTTTGTTGTTGAACACAATATTTCTCTCTCTCTCTCTCTCTCTCTCTCTCTCTCTCTCTCTCTCTCTCTCTCTCTCTCTCTCTCTCTCTCTCTCTCTCTCTCTCTCTTTTTCTCTTTCTCTCTTTCTTTCTGACACGTGGGATGATGTCACCTACCTGACGTATTCTGGAAGGACGGAGGCGTGATCGTTGATCAGCAGGTCCTTCACCTGGTTGATGATGGCAAACTTCCAGTTGTCCAGCACCTGGGTCAGGTTGGAGCAGATCTTAGTCTGGCTTTTATCTGCTGGAGATGACATGGGAATGTTCATTCACCACTCAGATACAGAAGGTAGACTATACTGTACTATACCACTGGCTGTTCATGTCTTGAAGATAACAAGCTATTAGAACACAATATCTATTCAATATCAATGGATGTATAGAACATACTGCTTGAAGTGTGCTACATAAGAGACTCTACACATACAGGAAGTAGTTTACAAACTAGTGACTGTGTCTGTTCTGCCGTACCTCTATTAAAGAGACTACACACATACAGTATGTAGATTACATAATAGTGACTGTGTCTGGTCTACCTTACCTCTATCAAAGAGACTCCTTTCGTCTTTTGACCTCACCCTCTCATCGTCACCCCCTACTCACAAGGCAGGCAATACGCTTGACCTCAGCTTTACTAGATGCTGTTCTTCTACTAATCTCACTGCAACTCCCCTCCAAGTCTCCGACCACTACTTTGTATCCTTTTCTCTCTCGCTCTCCTCCAACACTACTCACTCTGCCCCTACTCAGATGGTAATGTGCCGTCGCAACCTTCGCTCTCTCTCTCCCGCTACTCTCTCCTCTTCCATCCTATCATCTCTTCCCTCTACTAAATCCTTCTCCCTCCGATCTCCTGATTCTGCCTCCTCAACCCTCCTCTCCTCCCTTTCTGTATCTTTTGACTCTCTATGTCCCCTATCCTCCCGGCCGGCTCGGTCCTCCCCTCCTGCTCCGTGGCTTGACGAATCATTGCGAGCTCATAGAAGAGGGCTCCGGGCAGCCGAGCGGAAATGGAGGAAAACTAGACTCCCTGCGGACCTGTCATCTATTCACTCCCTCCTCTCTACATTCTCTTCCTCTGTTTCCGCTGCTAAAGCCCCTTTCTACCACTCTAAATTTCAAGCCTCTGCCTCTAACCCTAGGAAGCTCTTTGCCACCTTCTCCTCCCTGCTGAATCCTCCTCCTCCTCCCCCTCCCTCCTCCCTCTCTGTGGATGACTTCGTCAACCATTTTGAAAAGAAGGTTGACAACATCCGATCCTCATTTATTAAGTTTGAGTTTGAGTTTGAGTTTATTTTTACAGGGACAGTGCACATTAATCAACGTTTCAGTAAAAGTTTTAGCCAGCCGGCTAATTTTCAACCGCAGTCCCTGGGCAGGTTATTAAAAACAATTACAATATAGACAATAACAACATAGAACAAGACATAGCATACAGACATAGCAACATAGGACAAGCAAGACTTAGCATACAGACAGAGCAACATAGAACAAAAAGCAGCAAGACAAAATTCATAAAAGCAACAAAGTGTTTCCACACCTCACAAGTTACAGACAACAGACATGGAAAGCGGCAACACACAGCTAGGGACCATGTTCACAAATCTGATTGACCTTTAGCCATGTCTTCAAGCATTTTGTGAAAGTGTGATATGTGGTGCAGTTGTGTGTGTCTGATGGCAGTGTATTCCAGACATGGGAAGCTCTCACAGAAAAAGCAGATTTACTAAAGGTGCTTTTCCTTAGGGGAACTACACAGTCACCTCTCATGGCAGACCTTGTGGATCTGCTGCCATATGTTTGGGTTTTCTGTTTAACAAAAATACTGAGTGGAGGGGGAGCCAAGCCATTTAGGATCTTGAATACAAGACATGCATCGGTGTATTGCACAAGATTTTCCCAACTCAGGAGCTCATGCTTTCTAAGGATGTGACAGTGATGATGGCTATTGGGCTTCCTATCAAGCACTTTGAGAGCCTGTTTGTAGACTGACTGAATAGGTCTTATTGTTGTACAGCAAGCTTGGGCCCAACTAGTCAAGCAGTATGTTAAGTGGGGGAGTATCATAGATTTGAAGTACAGTTTTGCTACCTCTGTAGTCAAACAATTTCGTATAAATCGGAAATTAGCTAGGTTGAATTTGGTTATTTGAATTACCTTTTTCACATGCTTTTTAAAAGAGAGGTTGGAATCAAGTATGATGCCAAGGTACTTAAAATCAGATACCCCCTGGAGCTTCTCCCCTGACACATATACTTCTGGCTCAGTAGCATCTGTTGCCCTCTTTGTGAAGAACATGCAAACAGTTTTTTTCACATTGAGATGCAAACACGAGTCACTGAGCCACTTGACAGACACTCCTGCTCACACTGCCCTACCCTATGCTTTGACTTCTTTCTCCCTTCTCTCTCCAGATGAAATCTTGCGACTTGTGACGGCCGGGCCGCCCAACAACCTGCCCGCTTGACCCTATCCCCTCCTCTCTTCTCCAGACCATTTCCGGAGACCTTCTCCCTTACCTCACCTCGCTCATCAACTCATTCTTGACCGCTGGCCATGTCCCTTCCGTCTTCAAGAGAGCGAGAGTTGCGCCCCTCCTCAAAAAACCTACACTCGATCCCTCCGATGTCAACAACTACAGACCAGTATCCCTTCTTTCTTTTCTCTCCAAAACTCTTGAGCGTGCCGTCTCTAGCCAACTCTCCTGCTATCTCTCTCAGAATGACCTTCTTGATCCAAACCAGTCAGGTTTCAAGACTGGTCATTCAACTGAGACTGCTCTTCTCTGTGTCACGGAGGCTCTCCGCACTGCTAAAGCTAACTCTCTCTCCTCTGCTCTTATCCTTCTAGACCTATCCGCTGCCTTTGATACTGTGAACCATCAGATCCTCCTCTCCACCCTCTCCGAGTTGGGCATCTCCAGCGCTGCTCACTCTTGGATTGCGTCCTACCTGACAGGTCGCTCCTACCAGGTGGCGTGGTGAGAATCTGTCTCCGCACCACGTACTCTCACCACTGTTGTCCCCCAGGGCTCAGTTCTAGGCCCTCTCCTATTCTCTCTATACACCAAATCACTTGGCTCTGTCATATCCTCACATGGTCTCTCGTATCATTGCTACGCAGACGACACACAATTAATTTTCTCCTTTCCCCCTTCTGATAACCAGGTGGCGAATCGCATCTCTGCATGTCTGGCAGACATATTAGATGTCGGATCACCACCTCAAGCTGAACCTCGGCAAGACGGAGCTACTCTTCCTCCCGGGGAAGGACTGCCCGCTCCATGATCTCACCATCTCGGTTGACAACTCCATTGTGTCCTCCTCCCAGAGTGCAAAGAACCTTGGCGTGACCCTGGAGAACACCCTGTCATTCTCCGCTAACATCAAAGCGGTGACCCGATCCTGCAGGTTCATGCTCTACAACGTTCGCAGAGTACGACCCTACCTTACACAGAAAGCGGCACAGGTCCTAATCCAGGCACTTGTCATCTCCAGTCTGGATTACTGCAACTCGCTGTTGGCTGGGCTCCCTGCCTGTGCCATTAAACCCCTACAACTTATCCATAACGCTGCAGCCCGTCTGGTGTTCAACCTTCCCAAGTTCTCTCATGTCACCCCGCTCCTCCGCACACTCCACTGGCTTCCAGTTGAGGCTCGCATCTACTACAAGACCATGGTGCTTGCCTACGGAGCTGTGAGGGGAACGGCACCTCCTTACCTTCAGGCTCTGATCAGACCCTACACCCAAACGAGGGCACTACTTTCATCCACCTCTGGCCTGCTAGCTCCCCTACCTCTACGGAAGCACAGTCCCGCTCAGCCCAGTCAAAGCTATTCACTGCTCTGGCACCCCAATGGTGGAACAAGCTCCCCCACGACGCCAGGACAGTGGAGTCACTGATCACCTTCCGGAGACACTTGAAACCCTACCTCTTTAAGGAATACCTGGAATAGTATAAAGTAATCCTTCTTCCCCCACCCCCCATAAAAAAATAACAAATATATAATAATAATAATAATAATAATAATAATAATAAATAAAATAATAAAGTGGTTGTCCCACTGGCTATCATAAGTTGCATGCACCAATTTGTAAGTCGCTCTGGATAAGAGCGTCTGTTAAATGATGTAAATGTAAATGTTTACAAGAAGTATATTACACACTCGTGACTGTGTCTGGTCTACCTTACCTCTATCAAAGAGACTCTACACATACAGGAAGTAGATTACATACTAGTGACTGTGTCTGGTCTGCCTTACCTCTATCAAAGAGACTCTACACATACAGGAAGTAGATTACATACTAGTGACTGTATCTGGTCTACCTTACCTCTATCCCACTCTGATGTCTCCTGCTTCCACTTCTGAGAGAGACACAGAGAGAGCAGAGACAGCAGGGCTAGAACCCTCCTCATCATCATCTTCCTCAGGAAAACTACAACAACAACAACAACATCATCATCATCATCATCATCATCATCATCATCATCATCATCATCAACAACAACAACAACATCATCCTCATCATCATCATCATCATCATCATCAACAACATCAACAACAACAATATCATCATCATCATCATCATCATCATCCTCACAACCAACAACAACAACAACATAATCAACAACAACAACATAATTCATTCAACCCCTCCACTATGTCTGACATAGACAAGCCTACATGTGAGGATCTGGAACCAGTGTCACCTCTCAGTGACAACAGGTGCAGAACACAGTAAAAACATGATAGATGCTGAACTGGTTAGCATGTCATAGTTGATGAATAGATGAGATTGGACCTGGTTCTGTAGATGATTAGTCTGTGTCTTTGTAGTCCAGCCCTCAGACCCAAATGGTGATTGTTACGGATACAGGTATCCTGTGTTTTTGTGTGTTTCTCTCCTTCTGCCCTAATCACAGGTGTCCTGTATGTTCCTGATTGGTGGTCGTTGAGGTGTCTGCTGATTGGACCAATCAGTGAACATTCCTGTGCATTGCACCACCTGTTACTCGTTTGTTCAATCACACATCCCATTGTATAAAAGCCAGTCTTGTGTTTGTTGAGAGAGAGAGAGAATATTTCCGGATGTGAGTATGGACACGGTGGTGTCCTGTTTTTGGTTACTCACTAAAGTTGCTGTTTATTATGATTGGTAATTCTGTTAGACTACTGTTTTGTTATGTGAGTGCGGATACTGTTGTGTCCTGTGTAGTGTGTACTACTTAATTGCTGATTACCCTGTTTGGTAGCTTTGTGTGTTTCTGGGAAAAGGGGAGTTTAAGCTAGTTGCCCTTGGGCGTACATTACCCGTAGGAAGAAATCTGTCTAAAAACACTAGTTAGACCTGAGCGGACCACCCACTGTACTTTTGTATGACTAGCAGTAGCCTAGCGGTTCTTCAGGCAGGCTAGATCAGTTTAGGGGGTTTTACACTATTGTTTCATTTCTTGGGTCCTGCTCAGCCCTTTTTCCCAAACCCTTACCGTGTGTTCTGAAATAAACCATTTGTGTTTGACGGTAGTTCATGGTTGTTGTGTCACATTTGTTCTCACTGCTCCATGCCACACTCCTAATTTGCATAATTTATGTTACGGGCCTCATGTCCATCCACCCTAGACGTTTAGAGCCACGGGGTTCGTAACATAAAGTGGGGGTTCGTCCGGGATCCATCCCGTGCTACTCATGCAAATTAGCAAGTGTCTGGTTCAGTGTTGAGCTTGGCAGCTGTACTACCTGTTTTTTTTTTTTGTGTGTTCAGTAGTCGACGGCTCGTGTTGCTAGTAGGATGGCTACTTTTGAGTTGGAGGCATTTTTGGAAAACCCTACGTGGGAGGTTTTTGATAATTGCCGTAGAGTGGATCTACAGGCTTTGGCTGACCACTTTTCTTTACCCATACCGAGGGGTTTAGTGAAAGCAGAAGTTAGGGAAGTAGTGCTAGCGATATTGTTAAACGAGCGAGTGCTTGAGTTACCGCCGCCTGAGTCTGCTGCTCCTGTAGGGGATGTGGTTGCTACGCCTGTAAGCCCATCAATGTCTGAGGACGAGACTAAGGCTCCAGCCACATTGCCCCGTTATGACCCACTCTCCCCACTGACTGACAGTGATGCCAGGATGGATGTCCGCTCGACACGGCTCCAAATGGAGGCGGAAGAGCGGGCACAAATCAGGCAAGACAAGCTGGAGATGCGTAAAATGGAGCTAGAGGCAGAACAGGAGACGCGTAAGCTAGAGGCAGAACAGGAGACGCGTAAGATGGAACTGGAGATGCGTAAGATGGAACTGGAGGTGCGTAAAATGGAACTAGAGGCAGAAACAGCGAGGTTAGTCTCTGCTAATACTATGCCTGCTAGTGAGCCATCCTCACCAGCTGTGTCATCTGCTACGTTTGATATTAGTAGGCAGATCACCTTGGTACCTGTGTTCAGGGAGTCAGAGGTTGATTCCTATTTCAGTGTGTTTGAACGTATAGCGGTAGCATTGAAATGGCCCGAAGAGGTATGGTGCCTATTACTTCAGTGTAAACTAACAGGTAAAGCCCAAGAGGTTCTGGCAGCGCTACCTCTTGAAGACAGTTTGAATTATGAAGTGGTCAAAGCTACTGTTCTTCGTGCCTATGAGCTTGTTCCTGAGGCATATCGACAGAGATTTAGGTCTCATAAAAAGTCTCCTACTCAGACTTATGTGGAGTTTGCTAGAGACAAAGGAAATCTGTTTGACAAATGGCACAGTGCTAGTAAAGTAACTGATTTTAACTCTCTACGGGAGTTAATCTTGTTAGAAGAGTTTAAAAATTGCTTACCCGAACGCATTGTAGTTTATCTGAACGAACAGAAAGTATCCTCACTGTCGGAAGCGTCTGTATTGGCAGACGAGTTTGTATTGACGCATAAGAGCGTGTTTTCGGCTCGGACGGAGGGCAGGGTTGCGGAGTTGCTAACTTTTAATCCTAGTCGACCAGCAGTACATCCAGCATGCCCAAAAGATGTGCGTCACTGTTTCTATTGTCATAAGGTGGGACATATGGTTAATGATTGCTTTCTGCTAAAACGCAAACCGGGGATGCCTCAGCACGCCAGGCCGCCAACGGGTTTTGGGCTGATTCGTACGGTTGTAAGGCCGGAATCAAGACAGAGGCCTCATAGTGAATGTGGTTTGAAAGTCCCTGTCCCAGATCACAGTTATGAACCGTTCATTTTTGAGGGGTTTGTTTCTATATCAGATGACGAAGCGTCTCAGCGTCCAGTTAGAATCCTCAGAGATACTGGTGCGGCGCAGTCGTTCATACTATCTGATGTGTTGCCCTTGTCTAATAATACATATTGTGGTTCCAATGTGTTAGTACAAGGAATTGAAATGGGATTTGTCCCAGTGCCATTGCACTTTGTGAACGTACACTCTGAGTTAGTCAGTGGATTGTTCAGAGGGGGCGTACGTCCTATGTTGCCAGTAAAAGGTGTGACATTTATAATGGGCAACGATATTGCCGGAGGAAAGGTGATACCCGTATTGGAGGTATTGGATAAAAGTGACCAGTCTCTCTCCGAGGAGCTGGCACAGGGTTATCCAGATGTGTTCCCCGCTTGTGCTGTCACACGTGCTCAAGCACGACAAGTGGGTGAAGTGATAGATTTGTCGAACACGATTCTATTCAGAGAGTGTGACCCAGAGGATAGTTCGGGTGCTACCTCTGGTAAGCTGGTGCAGTCTGACCAACAGCCCAGAGAAAGGAAGAAGGATGTGGAACTTGTTGCTGAGGCAATACAGTTACCAGTTACTCGTGAGCAGCTGATCGCTAACCAACAGGTTGACATTAGCCTGGCTAAATGTTTTTCTAGTGTTGTCTCAGAGGAGGAGCTAAAGAAGAAAAACATGGCATACTTCATTGATGGTAATCTCCTCATGCGTAAATGGACATCCCATGTTGATGCTGGCGAAGATTGGAATGCTGTTTACCAAATAGTGATTCCTACAGCCTTTCGACAAAATGTTTTATCCCTCGCTCATGATCACCAGTGGTCCGGACATCTGGGAGTCACCAAGACTTATGATCGTGTTTTGCGACATTTCTTTTGGCCTGGCTTAAAACAAGATGTGGCTCAGTTCTGTCGGACTTGCCACACCTGTCAAGTAGTTGGGAAACCGAACCAGGTTATTTCCCCCGCGCCTCTTTGTCCCATACCGGCCATAGGTGAACCCTTCGAACATGTGATGGTTGATTGTGTTGGACCATTACCAAAAACAAAATCTGGTAACCAGTTTATGTTGACAATTATGTGTGTGGCCGCCAGGTACCCAGAGGCCATTCCTCTGCGAAGAGGGGTTGGATAATGTGTTGGCAGATGCTTTGTCTCGTGTGTGTAATGATCTAGGTTTTTTTTTTGTTATCCCGATAGGATGATTTGTGAATTTGGGTGTTGTGATAGTACGTGTGTCGCAAACCATTGTGGTTTGCTCTTTTAAGGGTGGGAGTGTTACGGATACAGGTATCCTGTGTTTTTGTGTGTTTCTCTCCTTCTGCCCTAATCACAGGTGTCCTGTATGTTCCTGATTGGTGGTCGTTGAGGTGTCTGCTGATTGGACCAATCAGTGAACATTCCTGTGCATTGCACCACCTGTTACTCGTTTGTTCAATCACACATCCCATTGTATAAAAGCCAGTCTTGTGTTTGTTGAGAGAGAGAGAGAATATTTCCGGATGTGAGTATGGACACGGTGGTGTCCTGTTTTTGGTTACTCACTAAAGTTGCTGTTTATTATGATTGGTAATTCTGTTAGACTACTGTTTTGTTATGTGAGTGCGGATACTGTTGTGTCCTGTGTAGTGTGTACTACTTAATTGCTGATTACCCTGTTTGGTAGCTTTGTGTGTTTCTGGGAAAAGGGGAGTTTAAGCTAGTTGCCCTTGGGCGTACATTACCCGTAGGAAGAAATCTGTCTAAAAACACTAGTTAGACCTGAGCGGACCACCCACTGTACTTTTGTATGACTAGCAGTAGCCTAGCGGTTCTTCAGGCAGGCTAGATCAGTTTAGGGGGTTTTACACTATTGTTTCATTTCTTGGGTCCTGCTCAGCCCTTTTTCCCAAACCCTTACCGTGTGTTCTGAAATAAACCATTTGTGTTTGACGGTAGTTCATGGTTGTTGTGTCACATTTGTTCTCACTGCTCCATGCCACACTCCTAATTTGCATAATTTATGTTACGGGTCTCATGTCCATCCACCCTAGACGTTTAGAGCCACGGGGTTCGTAACAGTGATTATCAGAGAATAGTCTCTCTGGGCAAAAGCAGATAAAACACCATCATTATGTGATTGGCTGAACTGGAAGTTGTTACTACAGTTCGGCACAGAATAACCCGCCATCAGTTACATGCAGAATCAATATATTATCTGAAGTTGATGTGATGTTATATTGTCATATTATTTACACAGTCATTATTTTCAGACTAGTTCATGTTCACATTCCATTTGGCATGCAGATATCCAGTGGATGATTGTTTCACAATAGAAAACATTTTCCTCTGTAAATAAATCTAATATCAATAAAATAATATTGAATATTGATCCCTAATATCCAGTGATTACAGCTGGTTTATCTGTAGATACTCTACCTGACTGTGAAGCTGAGATGTGAGCTGTTTATCCCCAGACCAGACCAGACTAGACCAGATTAGACCAGACCAGAACAGTGTGTGGTAGTATTCCAGTATGACTGAAGCTCTGTAGAAGAACATGATGTGGACAGCTCTCTTATAAACTCTCTAAGCCATCCCCCACCTGCTGGACTCCTCCCCTTTATAACCAGGACACCCCTCTGTAAATGCACACACACACACACACACACACACACGGTTCCTGTGCGCACACACACACACACACACACACAGAAAGAAACGCTGGTCTGGAGGTCTGTAGTGTTACAGTGAAATGTCATCTCTAAAGCCTGTCTGGCCACAGATACAGTGGAGGTGTTTGATGTAGCAGCAGTATCCCTCCTCCCTCTTCCTCCTCCCCCCCCCCACCTCCCCGCTCCTCCTCCTCTTCCTCCAGAACTACGTTCCTGAAGCCTACTGTAATCATCTGTGGAACATCTGGGCTCTGCCTGCAGCCCAGCCCAGCCAGCTCCGACCGCTCTCTAATACCCTTTTTACACTACTGAGTTGAACCGAACCGAGCCGAGACAAGCTGAGCTGAACTCAGCTGCGCTGGCCTGGTTCCCCATCCAACCACCATAGTTGCTGGAACAATCCTGCAAATGACAATGTGAAACTAAAATATCTGAGCCTGTTCAGTAGGTTTCAGGTTGGCATGATAGTGTGAAAAGGGTCTGATATCTGAGCCAGCTCAGTAGGGTTCAGGTTGGCATGATAGTGTGAAAAGGGTCTGATATCTGAGCCAGCTCAGTAGGGTTCAGGTTGGCATGATAGTGTGAAAAGGGTCTGAGACTGTCAAGAGTAAAGCGGTTAACCCAGTCTCACAACCAGGGAGTCACATACACACACTGACAGCTCATAAAGTTCTAATCAGGAGATTATTCAGCAGTAAACATAGGAGAATAACACCTTACATCATTGTTTGGGCCGAGTCTGAATCATGTGATGGAGAAATGAAACATGTAACAAACTACACTGTATACACTGTTCATGTTCACAGAAAATAAGACACTCTGTTACTGTCATGTTGTTGCAGTTTCCATGGTTATACACAGTGTTGCCTGATATTCCAGATGATGTAATACCCTATAGTTCAATTAAGATCCCATGGAGTTAACCTAAGATCATGACTAAAACCAGTACTGAAACACACAGCTTGTTAATTACTCATGGTAGCATGTGATCATCCTGTCACCGTTATAAATGGATCTAATGATCATGACATAACTTGCTTCAATCCAAACATTACCGTCCCAGAAAAACAGAAATTCGTTCCCTCTGGTGCTGGGCTGAGGAGAGGAGAGGCCAGTCTGTCGCCAGCCAGCCCAGTAAGGGCCAGCCCGGGGCCTGAGCCAGCTGGGTCTGGAGATGGGGGAATAAGCCCCTGCAGAGCAGAGAGCCATCATGGAGTAGTGAGAAGAGATCCATGACTCCTGTGAGATATATCATTAGTCTTCTGTGTTTCTAGACTCTAAAATGTTATAAACAAATGTAGGAACATTTGGAGAGAGAAAAATAAGAAAACGTTGTGATTAAATTCCATCTCACCAGTGAACAACATTGATTTATTGGAATATTACAGACCAATGCTCTCTCTGGGACAGTGTGGGTTCCCCAGGAAGAACAGTTGAAAAGTTGACACTAACCTTTTTTTACACAGGAACCAAAAACACTGATGGGAACCCCAAAAAAAATTTTTTTAAAAGAGATTAAATAGACAAAAAAATTTTTTATTTAAACCCAGTCTCCCCTATTGAAGTGAGGTGGGAAAGGGAAACATGTTTCCGCCTCCCTCCTTCTAATAGCAGGGGGAGGGGAAACTGTTGCAGCCCCCTCACTTCTAATAGCAGGTGGGGGGAAAAATGTTTCCCGCCTCCATAATTTAAAAGCAGGGGGAGGGGAAAAAGTTTCCAGCCTCCACACTTCTAAAAGCGGTGGGGGGGGAAAAACATTTCCAGCCTCCATCATTTAATGAGGTTGAAGGGAAACAAGGTTTCCAGCCTCCACACTTCTAATAGCAGGTGGAGGGGAAACATGTTGCCAGCCTCCATCACTTCTAATAGCAGGTGGAAGGGAAACATGTGTTGCCAGCCTCCATCACTTCTAATAGCAGGTGGAGGGGAACATGTTGCCAGCCTCCATCACTTCTAATAGCAGGTGGAGGGGAAACATGTTGCCAGCCTCCATCACTTCTAATAGCAGGTGGAGGGAAACATGTTGCCAGCCTCCATCACTTCTAATAGCAGGTGGAAGGGAAACATGTTGCCAGCCTCCATCACTTCTAATAGCAGGTGGAGGGGAAACATGTTGCCAGCCTCCATCACTTCTAATAGCAGGTGGAGGGGAAACATGTTGCCAGCCTCCATCACTTCTAATAGCAGGTGGAGGGGAAACATGTTGCCAGCCTCCATCACTTCTAATAGCAGGTGGAGGGGAAACATGTTGCCAGCCTCCATCACTTCTAATAGCAGGTGGAGGGGAAACATGTTGCCAGCCTCCATCACTTCTAATAGCAGGTGGAGGGGAAACATGTTGCCAGCCTCCATCACTTCTAATAGCAGGTGGAGGGGAAACATGTTGCCAGCCTCCATCACTTCTAATAGCAGGTGGAGGGGAAACATGTTGCCAGCCTCCATCACTTCTAATAGCAGGTGGAGGGGAACATGTTGCCAGCCTCCATCACTTCTAATAGCAGGTGGAGGGGAAACATGTTGCCAGCCTCCATCACTTCTAATAGCAGGTGGAGGGGAACATGTTGCCAGCCTCCATCACTTGCCAGCCTCCATCACTTCTAAGAGCAGGCAGAAGGGAAACATGTTGCCAGCCTCCATCACTTCTAATAGCAGGTGGAGGGGAAACATTTTGCCAGCCTCCATCACTTCTAAGAGCAGGCAGAAGGGAAACATGTTGCCAGCCTCCATCACTTCTAATAGCAGGCAGAAGGGAAACATGTTGCCAGCCTCCATCACTTCTAATAGCAGGCAGAAGGGAAACATGTTGCCAGCCTCCATCACTTCTAATAGCAGGCAGAAGGGAAACATGTTGCCAGCCTCCATCACTTATTAAGACCAAAGTTTTACAAACTATCTGATGATGATTTATCACAGAAAAGTGTTTACTGTAATTGAATGTCCAGTGATTACAACAGCAAGCTTTTTTGGTCAAAGCTTTTAAGGTAATTTGCAAGCACAATATAGCCCGTTTGACTGCACTAAGGTTATTCTACTGGCAGAATATTCCTCTACTGAGAGACCAGAGATGTAGAAGCCAGATAGAACCCATTCCAGGCAGCCAGATGCTGTAGAAATAACCTGATCCCTTTTATCACTGTGCAGGAATCTGACTGGACAGTACTGGCATGAGCACCACAGCTTCACATACGCACACACACACACACACACACACACACACACACACACACACACACACACACACACACACACACACACACACACACACACACACACACACACACACACACACACACACACACACACACAACATTATCATTCCATCCACCAGCCACAGTGATATACTATAAATACCAGCACACAACTTACAGCTGAAATCACATATCTGTTGATCAAACAAGCTAACGGTTTAGTCTTTAACTGACAACACAAACCTGTTGATCAAAAAACCAAACGGTTTAGTCTTTAACTGACAACACAAACCTGTTGATCAAAAAAGCTAACGGTTTAGTCTTTAACTGACATCACATACCTGTTGATCAAACAAGATAAGGGTTTAGTCTTTAACTGAAAACACATACTGTGGGGAGAACAAGTATTTGATACACTGCCGATTTTGCAGGTTTTCCTACTTACAAAGCATGTAGAGGTCTGTAATTTTTATCATAGGTACACTTAAACTGTGAGAGACGGAATCTAAAACAAAAATCCAGAAAATCACATTGTATGATTTTTAAGTAATTCATTTGCATTTTATTGCATGACATAAGTATTTGATACATCAGAAAAGCAGAACTTAATATTTGGTACAGAAACCTTTGTTTGCAATTACAGAGATTTCCTGTAGGTCTTGACCAGGTTTGCACACACTGCAGCCGGGATTTTGGCCCACTCCTCCATTCAGACCTTCTCCAGATCCTTCAGGTTTCGGGGCAGTCGCTGGGCAATACGGACTTTCAGCTCCCTCCAAAGATGTTCTATTGGGTTCAGGTCTGGAGACTGGCTAGGCCACTCCAGGACCTTGAGATGCATCTTACGGAGCCACTCCTTAGTTGCCCTGGCTGTGTGTTTCGGGTCGTTGTCATGCTGGAAGACCCAGCCACGACCCATCTTCAATGCTCTTACTGAGGAAAGGAGCTTGTTGGCCAAGATCTCGCGATACATGGCCCCATCCATCCTCCCCTCTATATGGTGCAGTCGTCCTGCCCCCTTTGCAGAAAAGCATCCCCAATGAATGATGTTTCCACCTCCATGCTTCACGGTTGGGATGGTGTTCTTGGGGTTGTACTTATCCTTCTTCTTCCTCCAAACACGGCGAGTGGAGTTTAGACCAAAAAGCTCTATTTTTGTCTCATCAGACCACATGACCTTCTCCCATTCCTCCTCTGGATCATCCAGATGGTCATTGGCAAACTTCAGACGGGCCTGGACAAGGGGGACCTTGCGTGCGCTGCAGGATTTTAATCCATGACGGCGTAATGTGTTACTAATGGTTTTCTTTGAGACTGTGGTCCCAGCTCTCTTCAGGTCATTGACCAGGTCCTGCCGTGTAGTTCTGGGCTGATCCCTCACCTTCCTCATGATCATTGATGGCCCACGAGGTGAGATCTTGCATGGAGCCCCAGACCGAGGGTGATTGACCGTCATCTTGAACTTCTCCCATTTTCTAATAATTGCGCCAACAGCTGTTGCCTTCTCACCAAGCTGCTTGCCTATTGTCCTGTAGCCCATCCCAGCCTTGTGCAGGTCTACAATTTTATCCCTGATGTCCTTACACAGCTCTCTGGTCTTGGCCATTGTGGAGAGGTTGGAGTCTGTTTGATTGAGTGTGTGGACAGGTGTCTTTTATACAGGTAACGAGTTCAAACAGGTACAGTTAATACAGGTAATGAGTGGAGAACAGGAGGGCTTCTTAAAGAAAAACTAACAGGTCTGTGAGAGCCGGAATTCTTACTGGTTGGTAGGTGATCAAATACTTATGTCATGCAATAAAATGCAAATTAATTACTTAAAAATCATTCAATGTGATTTTCTGGATTTTTGTTTTAGATTCCGTCTCTCACAGTTGAAGTGTACCTATGATAAAAATCACAGACCTCTACATGCTTTGTAAGTAGGAAAACCAGCAAAATCGGCAGTGTATCAAATACTTGTTCTCCCCACTGTACCTGTTGATCAAAAAAGCTAACAGTTTAGTCTTTAACTGACATCACATACCTGTTGATCAAACAAGCTAACGGTTTAGTCTTTAACTGACATCACATACCTGTTGATCAAACAAGATAATGGTTTAGTCTTTAACTGACATCACATACCTGTTGATCAAACAAGATAATGGTTTAGTCTTTAACTGACATCACATACCTGTTGATCAAACAAGCTAAGGGTCTTCCACCTTTTGACTACAGCAGCGTTTCCCTAACTCGGTCCTGGGGACACCAAGGGATGCACTTTTTTGCCCTAGGCACTCCAAACCTCATTAAAATAATAAAATAATTGATTATATGAATCAGCTGTGTATTGCTAGGACAAAAATCTAAATGTAAATTCCTTAGGATCCCCAGGACAGAGTCTGAGAAATGTTGGACTAAGGTATATTTAATATATTGTATATCTTACAGTATATGGATTCTAGATCCATCTCCTGGACTACGGTATATTGAATATATTGTATATCTTATAATACATGGTTTCTAGATCCACCCATTGTATGAGAATATACATATTCCCTGAACATAGCAATGTTGAAAAGAGACTGAGACAGACATACTGCTAATCTAACATGGGTTAGATGTAAAGATGTTGAGATGTACCATACAGATGATGACTGGATCCTGTCCACTGGCCCTGTGGACCACTGAGATGTACCATACAGATGATGACTGGATCCTGTCCACTGGCCCTGTGGACCACTGAGATGTACCATACAGATGATGACTGGATCATGTCCACTGGCCCTGTGGACCACTGAGATGTACCATACAGATGTTGACTGGGTCCTGTGGACCACTGAGATGTAACATACACATGATGACTGGGTCCTGTCCACTGGCCCTGTGGACCACTGAGATTTGACATACATTTTACATTTACATTTTAGTCATCTAGCAGACGCTCTTATCCAGAGCGACTTACAGTTAGTGAGTGCATACATTATATATTTTTTTCATACTGGCCCCCCATGGGAATCGAACCCACAACCCTGGCGTTGCAAACGCCATGCTCTACCAACATCCCTACCAGCCATTCCTCTCCTACCCTGGACGAAGCTGGGCCAATTGTGCGCCGCCCCATGGGTCTCCCAGTCGCGGCTGGCTACGACAGAGCCTGGATTCAAACCAGGATCTCTAGTGGCACAGCTAGCACTGCGATGCAGTGCCTTAGACCACTGCGCCACTCGGGATAACACATGTTGACTGGGTCCTGTCCACTGTCCCTGTGAACCACTGAGATGTAGCATACACATGTTGACTGGGTTCTGTCCACTACAGGCCTGGATCAGACCAGTATGATGTCCAACACAGTAGTGTTACTGTAGGGGAACACATGCTGGCCAAGGACCCAGAGGAGGGAGGGAGTTAGGGAGGGAGGGATGTGTGTTGTGTTCCAGTCAAGGACAGGCACTGAGCCATGTGTGTGATGAAACAAGTCCAGACCTGCTGTGGGTCACAGACATATTACCTGATGTTTTCAACACTAGGGAGAGTTTATGAAGAGTTAATAAGGAGAGAGGGTTTATACCATCATTATAACAAAGCATTGCAGCTTATTTCAAAATAACCAAATAATGTACTTTCCCACTCATTTTAACAGCTAGGACAACGTGACTGTAAAGTGTCTATGACCATCTATATGAATGAGGTGTGAGGCTCAGTGAGTCCAGAGACAGGATAGTGATGGTTGTGTGTTAGAGGTTGATTGAAGAATGGTTTATTGTGAAGGTTCAGATGGAGAGTAATGTCTTCCAGACCCTGTCTCAACTCCAGTTCTAGTAAATGAACACAGTACCAGTTACAACCACATCCCATGCAACATGCCCAATTCCCCATCAGCAGCCTCAGTCCCACCATCCTACACTACAACCCCAAGCTTTACCCTGGCCTGAGCTGGTGGTTCTTCCAACCCCGGCCAGCTTGATCCTGAGCAGTAAAACTGTAATCCTGGGTGCAGGGCCAGCTCCAGCAGCTTCATCAAGCAGCTCAGTAGAGCCCAGACCAACGCAGCACAGTCCTGAATGGGGAAAGTATGACAGCACAGGAACAAGGTGCCAAGAAGAAGAGGGATATCACACCATTTCTCTCTCTCTCTCATATTTTTTACTTTGCCTTCTCCCCGTCTCTCTCTGTCTCTCATCATGCTCCTGTTTGTTGGTGATGGCAAGACATCTCAGTCTAGCTGATGGCTATAACAGACTTATAAAGCTGGGTCTCAGTCCTCTACTGGAAAATAATATCCTCTGTGTTCTAACTCTGGGGGCCCAGGCAGCCTCTGTGTTCTAACTCTGGGGGCCCAGGCAGCATACGAGAAAACACACAGCAGCAGAGACCCTGGCCTCTCCTCCTTGGATGGCACCCTATTCCCATAGTGGACTATGTTTGTCCAGGGCCCAAAGAAGGGAAAAACAAGATTGAGTTCAGACAGAGAGAAATGGACACCTATGACTTATTTTCCATAACCCTGAACTAATCCTACACACACAGGAATAGACAGTACTACAAATTAAGAGACCGTACTACACAGGAAGAGAAAGTACTACACAGGAAGACACAGTACTGCACAGAAAGAGACAGTACTGCACAGAAAGAGACAGTACTACACAGGAAGAGAGAGTAATACGCGGGAAGAGATAGTACTACAAAGGAAGAGATAGTACTACACAGGAAGAGACAGTAATACACAGGAAGAGCCCTACTACACGGAAGAGCCCCGTACTACATGGGAAAAAAAACCCCAGTCCCCCCCCCGGAAAGGAAAAATCTCCCCCGAAGACCAGTATTTCCACGGGAAACCCCCCCGGAAGGGGGCCCAGTCCTATTAGAACCCCCCCGTCCTCCAAGGAAGGAAACAGTCCTCCACATGGGGAGAAAAGACTCCCACGGAAGGGGACAGTACTCCCAAACAGGAAGAAAACCAGTCCCACACAGGAAGAGACGGGAAAGAGAAGTAACCCCGGAGAGAAAAATACGACACATAAAACAAAAAAAATGCTACAAAATTAAGGACGGGAAATACAGTCCTACATAGGAAAAAACCCATACTCACAGGAAAGAAACTTACCACACGGGAAGGCCAGTACTACCGGGAAAGAAAAGTACTAACTAAGAGACAGTACACACAAAAGAGACAGTAACTCCACGGGAAGAGACAGTACAACAAGGGAGAGACAGACTACACGGGAAAGAAAAAAAAAACTACCCCCAGGAAGAGACGGACTAACAGGAAGAGACGGGAAGAGCCCAATACTCCACAGGGGGGGCCCCGTACTACCCTCCCCCCCCAATCCCCCCCCTACCCCGGAAGAAAAAGGCAAAACCCGTCCCCCCGGGCCCCCCCCAGTCCCCCCGGGAAAAAAGAAATACTCGGGAAAAAAAGGTCCTCCCAGGAATAAACCCCTCCTCTGGAAGCCCAGTACCCCCCGGGAAAGCCCCCTTACCCCCCGGGAAAGGGGCCGGAAAAGGCCCGTACTACCCGGTAAAGCAGTACTACCCCAGGAATGGACAGTACTCCCCAACCCAGGAGGAAAAACCAATTTAAAAAGGGAAAAAAGCCCCCTTTTAAAAGAGGAAGAGCCCGTAAAACACGGGAAAGGGAATACCAGTATTCCCCCGGGAAAGAAAGTACTAACGGGAAAGACATTTCCTACATGGGAAAAGGAAAAGGAAAAAGCCCTTTCCCTACCAGGGGACTTTAATACCCATGAAGAGAAATGTCCACGGGAAAGACAGGAAATACGGGACTACCCCAGGAAAACCCGGGATAAACAGGAAAAAAAACCGTACTACCAGGAAGAGACAACTACACGGGAAAGGACGGGAAAGGACGGACTATATAGGAAAAGGAAACCAGTCCCCCCCAAGGAAGAAACTTTACTCCCGGGAAAGGACAGTACTACACAGGAAAAACGTACCCACATGGGACAGTCCCCACCGGAAGAGCCACCCCCTCCCAAAAGGAAGGGACATACCCCACGGGGAACAGGAAGGGGACGGGCCCCCCCCAGTTCCCCCCCCCCACAGGGAGACTTTCCTCCCCCTGAACCCCGGCTACCCCTTAAGGGAACAGGAACCCCCCCGTCCTCCTAGGGCCCCCGCCTTCCCCCCGGGGAAACGGTTTTCCCCCGGAAGAGGCCCGTTTTTACGGGGGAAAAGATCCAGTCCTCCCCCCGGGCCCCCCCCGTCCTCCCCGGAAAGGCCCAGTACTACCAGGAAAAACCTACTCCCCCGGAAAAAAACAGTACTCCACAGGAAGGCCCGTCTACCCAGGGAAGGGCCCGGGGAAGAGCCATTTCCTCCCCGGGAAAGGCCCGAAAATACCCCTAAAAGGGGACAATCTCCCCGGGAAAGGGGAAGGACGGGACCCCCCGCCCTCCCCGGAAAAAACCCCATTAAACGGAAAAAACCCGTACTACCAGGAAGGACTTATTAACAAAACGGGGAAAAAACCATACGGCACGGGAAAAAACCCCAAGTTTTCCACGGAAAAGGACGGGTATACATGGGAAAAAACCCAGAAACTCCACGGGAAAGGGGAAAATACCCCCCCGAAGAGGTCTACCCGGAAAGGCCCCGGAACCCCCCCGTCCCCCCCAAGGAAAAAACCCGTCCTCCCCCGGGAAGAAACGGGTATACCCCGGAAGGCCCTTTCTCCCTGGGAAACAGTCCTCCCCCAGGAAAGCAAATCCCCCCCCAAAAGAAGAGCCCGTACTACACAAAAGGAAGGAAAGAAGCCCCGTACTTTTGGAAAAAACCCCCCATCCCCCCCCAAAGGGGAAAAAACTACCCCAAAAGTGCCGGGGTACTAACAGGAAGTGCCCCCGTGCTCCACGGGGGCCCCCCCCGTACCCCCCGGGGCCCCCGGGAGACAGTCCAACCGGAAAGACAGCCCTCCCCTGAAGCCCCCAAATGCCCCCCATTACGGCCCAGGCGTCGTCCTCCCTGGGAAGGGGAAAACAGTCCCCCCCAGGGAAGCCCCCTCCCCCCGGGCGGTCCTCCCCCGGTTTAACGTACTACACATGAAGGCCCGTCCCCCCCCAGGAAGAGGACAGTCCTACCCCGGGGAAAAAGGTCCTCCCTGGGGGCCCCGTACTACCCGGGAAAGAAACATTCCTACCCGGGAAAGAGACAGTCCTCCCCCAAAGGACGGGGACGGGTCCTACCCCGGAAGGCATTTAACCCCCCCCGGGAAGCCCCCGGCAAAACCGGGAGCCCGGGTTTCCAGTACACCCAGGAAAGCCCCCAGTTTTCCCCCGGAACCCCCCCCGTCCTCCTCAGGGAGCCCCGTCCCCCCGGAAGGAAAGTCCGGCCCGGGAAAGAAAAAAACCCCCCTCCACGGGGAAAAAAGGAGTCCTCCCCCGGAAAATCCCCAATCTACCCGGAAAGAGCCAGTCACAAGGAAGAGAAAGTATACACAAGGGGAGGAGGCGGGAAAGAGCAGTATCCCCGGAAAAGGGGACATACTAAAAGGGAAATAGCCCCCCCCCCCCCACAGGAAAAAACCCCCGTCCTCCCCAAAAAGGAAAAAACCATTTTTACAGGGGGAAGTGCCAGAAACTCCCCGGGAAGAGACGTACCCCCGGGAAAAGAACAGCCCTAAAAGGAGCCCCCGTCCTAATGGGGGGCCGGGGCCGTCCCCCCCGGAAGGAAAAGTCCCCACTTTGAAGGGCCCCTCTACCCAAAAAAGGCCAGGGTACAGCCCTCCCCCGGAAAAAAAACCAGTCTAAAACGGAAAAAACGTAACCAGGAAGAACAGTACTAAAACAGGAAAAAACAGTACTCCCACAGGAAGAAAACAGAAAACTACCGGGAAGAGACAGTACTACACGGGAAAAACAGTACGGCCAGGAAGAAAAAAAAACCCTCCCCCCGGGGAAAGCCAAAACTACTTTGGAAGAAACCCCAAATCCAAAAAAGGGAAATCCTACCAAAAGAAGAGACAGTCCTACCCGGAAGGGACAGGAAAAGGGGACAGTACTAAAAAGGAAAAACCAGTACTGCACAGGAAGAAACGAAACTCCCGGGAAAAAGACAGTACTACATAGGAAAAAACCCAGAAAAACTACAAAAGGAAAAGAAAAAAACCTACCCAAAAAGGGGAAGTACTACACAGGAAGAACAGGAAGAGACGTATATATGGAAAAAACAGTACTCCCAAAGGAAGAAAAAACGGGTACTACAAAATGAAGAGACGTACTACACGGGAATAAAAACCAAGTGTTTCCACAGAAGGGGAAAACCAAAAGGGCCAGAAGAGACAGGAAGGGACATTACTAAAACAGGAGGACGTAAAACACATAAAAACCAATGCTCCTTTAAGAGACAGGGATCCCGTTACATAAGAAAAAAAAGTACTACACATGAAAAACAGTACAAACACGGGAAAGGAGCCAGTCCTACACGGAATATAAAGTACTACACTAAAAGAGCCCGTACTAAACGGGAAAGGGAAAACAGATTTACACAAAGGGAAAACCGTACCCCTAGGAAGGAACAGCCACACAAAGAAACGTACTACACGGGAAGAAAGGGGGAATACCCAGGGAGACCCGGGAGGAAGACGTACTACCCAGGAAGAGCCCCGTACTACAATAAAGGGGAAAATGCAAAAACCAGGAAGAGACGGAATACAGTCTAAAAAAAGGAAAAAACCCGTACTAAACAGGAAGAAAACATATACTCAGAAAGAGACAGTACTAAAACAGGAAAAAACAGTCAAAAGGGAAAAGACAGTACCCCCGGGAAAGCCCAGGAGAGAACAGTACAACGGAAAGGGACAGTACTCCCAGTAAGAGACAGGACTACACAGGAAGAGAAAATGCTCCAGGAAAGGAGACAAAGATGTATCCCAAACCGGAAACCAGTACTCCCCGGAAGAGCCATTTACTACCCCCTTTAAGGACAGTACTACAATAAAGAGAAAATCCTACACAGGAAGAGCCAGGAAGAGCCCGTACTAAAAAGGGGAAGAAACAGTTTTTACCTGGAAGAAACAGTACTACACAGGAAAAAGCCCAGAAACTACACGGGAAAAAGACAGAAAAAACCCCAGGAAGAAAAACAGCTACCCAGGAAAGAGACAGACTACACAGGGGAGCCCCATTATTTCCCCCGGAAAACAGTGCTACACGGGAAAGAGACGTACAAAACCCGGGGGGGGAAGAAGAAACAGTCCACCAGGAGGAGGGGTATTTAAAACGGGAAAGGCAAGTACTAAAAAAGGAATAAGACAGGGGGACATTTACTACCCGGGGAAGAGACGGGACTACAAGGAAAAAAATTAAAACCCGGGAAAGGACATTTACTACCAGGAGGAGACATTTTACTACCGGGAAGGGGCCCAGTGCTCACAAAAAGAGCCCATTTTACAAAACCCGGAAGAGACGTACTACACAGGAGGAGAAGTACCACAGGAAGACCCAAGGACTAAACAGGAATAAAACAGGAAGGACGGGACACCCCGGGAAAAGGACGTACTCCCACGGGAAGAAACGGGAATCCCACGGGAAAAGAGCAAGTACTACACGGGAAAGACAGGAAGAGACAGTCTACATGGGAAGGGCCGTGCTCCCACTTTAAGAGACAAACTACACGGAAGAAAACAGTACTCCCTGGAAGGGGACAGTACTAACATGAAGAGAAAATATTAAAAACCGGGAAAGAAAAGGAAGGCCCTTTACAAAAACGGGGAAAAAAACAGTATACCCCGGAAAAACAGCACTACCCCGGAAGAGACATTTATTTACACAGGAAGAAGAAGTCCTACCCAGGAAGGGGGACAGGACTAAAACGGAAAAAAACGGGTATACCATGAAAAAAAAACATACTACAAGGAAGGTGTGGTGTTGTGTTGCAGGAAAGACGGGAAAGGGGACCGTACTACATAGGAAGGGACAGTGTACCAGAAGGGGCCCAATACTACACGGAAGGGGAAAAGTACTACATGGGGAAAGACAGTACTCCCCCATGAAGAGACAATGCTACACAGGAAGAAAAACGGGAAAGATTAGTCCTACAAAAGGAACCCCCCCGTCCTCCCAGGGCCCCCTTATCCCCGTAAGAGCCCGTATACACTTTGAGAGCCCCTACTCCCCGGGAAAAAGAGACGGGAAAGGGGCCAGTACTACAAAAAGGAAAAAACAGTACTACCCGGGAAAAAAAACAGTACTACACGGAAAGAGACAGTACTACACAGGAAGGACGTAAAACCCCGGAAGAGACGATACAAAAGGAAGAGAAGACTACCAGGAGGGACAGTACTACACGGGAAAGGAACAGTGTAACGGGAAAGGGAAAACAGTATTTAAACCGGAAAGACGTACTCCCAACGGGAGGGCCCGGGACAAACACGGGAAAGACCCAAGTTTTAAAACAGGAAAGACAGGAAGACCATTTCTACACGGGGAAGAGACAGTACTACCCAAGAAGAAACCCGTACAAACCCCGGGAAAGAAAAACAGTATAAAAAGGGAAAGTGACGGAAAAAACCAAAACTACCCCGGAAAGAGAAAGAAACTCCCCAGGATGGACAGGAAAACACGGGAAAAGGCAATTTCTACACAGGGAAGGGGACGGGAAAGAGAAAAGTATACTGGAAAAGAGCCAGGCTACACAAAAGGCCCAATACAAAACCAGGAAGGGGACAGTACCCAAGGAAAGACGTAACAAATAAGGGGGAACAATATTAACAGAAGGCCCGGAAGAGACAGTACTACACAGGAAGAAACATATTTTCCCCCCCAAGGAAAAAAACACATTTCACAGGAAGAGCATTTCAAACCCCCGGGAAAAAGACATTACTAACGGAAAAGGGGACAGGATACACGGGAAAAGAAACAGTACTACAATAAAGAGACAGTATTTACACAGGAAGGTGTGTTTTGGGGTTTTGTGCGTGCGGCGTGCCGCTTTGGTTTTGTTGGGGAGGGGCAGGTCCAGTACAGCTGTAAAAATAATCTTTCCGTTTTCCCCAAAGGTCTTTAAATAAAAAATAGTCCACTAATTGTGAGGGGTTTTAAAATATTTGAACTTTTTTGTTTCTGTAAAATTAATTTGTTCATATCTAAAGCTTTGAAATAACTGATTAAATTTTTAGGTATTGATTTTCTAAAATTTACCGCAAGCCGGGTTAAAGATTGGGATAGATTAGGGGAAACTGGGGGAGTGCTAACAGAAACCCATTCCCCAGTCGGGCCCTTTTATTTGGCTGCCCCAAACAGTGTTTTCTGTTGGAGTAATGCATTTTTTAATGTATTATTGACGGGCACGTTGCTGCACGGCTTTGGGTCAGACGCTTTTAATGCTGAAAAAAAGCTGTTTAACATTTTTATTCCGTTGCTATAACAAAAAAAAACCAAAAGCCCGTGCTTAACAGGTTCATATACAGGGGCATAACAACAAAAACCAAAGTAAAGCCATTGTTGTTTTTTACGTTTATCCCAAAAAAACCTTGGATTGGAATCCAGTAGAAACAAAATTTTAATTCTATTTCTCCCAACCTTTTCACAAAACCCCAAAAATTCACAATATTCCCAAAAAAGTTTCGCCCGCCCTTGAGAGCTGTTTGGAACCCCTTCTTTATATGTGGGGAAAAATTTTTTGGTGAGTGTTGGGGCCCAAGTGGAAACTCTGTCTTACAGGGTGATTTGACCCCATCTTTTCCAAAAAATTTAATGGTCATATTAGGCAGACTGAGTGGTCAGTGAAACCCCATGTTAACCTAAACCCCTTTTTAAGGTAAATTTGAGGGACAATTTTTCCCCAAGAGAGATTTAAAAATTGATGTCTTTCATGACTTGCTGACGGGCCCATGAGGGGGAAAAGGTTTTGATTGGGCCCAGCATTTCCAAAACGCAAAAAAAAATTTAAAAAAGCTGGAAGATTGCCTTTCCTCCCTTTGGTTTATCAACCTCACCTGAGCGAGATACTCAAACCCAAAAAACGGGAAAAAAAAGGCAAAAAGAAGACCAAGAAAAATAGGGATGGGGGGGGACTGGGAAAAAAAATACAAAACCTTGCCCCTTGAGCCCTACCAGTCCCCTATTTAAAAAACCCTGGACCGGGAAAACCTACCAGCTACCTAGGGAAAAAACCTGGACTGGGGACCAAACCATTTCCCCTATGAACAAAGGGAAACCTGAGCCCCCTCCCTTTCCCCTACTGGGCCCAAACCGGACCTGAGCCCTCCCATCTACCTACGGGGAAAACCGGGACCTGAGCCCTAAATCTACCTCCCGGGGAAAACTGGCCCCCTAAACCCTAACCATCAACCCCCCTTGGGAAAAAAGGACCTGAGCCCTACCATCTCCCCAATTTTTGTAAAACCCGGGGTTTTTTTTAAACCTCCCACTCCCTCCTGGACAAACCTAAAACCTGAGCCTACCAGCCCCAAGGGGACCCAACCTGGCCCCTGAACCTCCCATCCCTACTGGGACAAACCGGACCGGGGGACCTCATCTCCCCCAGGGAATCCGGGGCCCTTTAAAGCCCTACCATCTCCCTACGGGGAAAAACCCCTGGACCTGGCCCCCCCATCTACCTCCGGGGGAAAAACCGGGACCTGAGCCCCTACCAACACCTCTGGGCCAAAACCTGGCCTGGGACCCTACCCTACCCCGGGGGACATACCTGGACCTGGCCTACCATCACCCCCCTGGGACAAAACCTGGCCCTGAGACCTACATCTACCTCCTGGGAAAAACCTGGACCTGAGACCTATCAACTGACTACTGAGACAAACCTGGCCTTGGGGCCTGGCAGTGTCAAATCTGAGGTGATGGATGACTGGATCTCAGAGGTGGACTACAGCACTGCAGCATAGAGGATGATAATGGGGAAGAGACTAAGGGACTAATGTAGCCCATAGACTCCTAACAGGAGTCATTCCATTACAATACTGTACCTGGATCTGATAGAAACACCATTAGCAGATGCTTCTGAATACATGAAATACATGAATGCACTGCAGCCCTAGATTTGTGTTTTGGGATTGACAGTGTTAACAATGTGTAACTACTGTGGAGATAAAGTTGATATGTAAATACTGTGCTGTTGACTGACTGATTATTAAAGCAGAACAACAGAATACCTCTGACCAGCTCCTGTGGAGGCCAGCTACAGTCATTACAAGCTTTTAGGTTAGCACTGCTGCCCCCTGTAGGTCATATGAAGGAAGTGTCTATTCAAATGTACTACTGTAACGCCATGCTCTACAAACTGAGCTACATCCCTGCCGGCCATTCCCTCCCCTACCCTGGACGACGCTGGGCCAATTGTGCGCCGCCCCATTGGTCTCCCGGTTGCTGCCGGCTATGACAGAGCCTGGATTACACCCCCATTATAGTACCTGGGAGGGAGAGGACTTGGGAGGGGAGAAGTCAAGGACTGCAACCAATCAAATTGGCTGCTTGGATAATGTTATGTGACATAAAAGCAATAACCCTAGTTGTGTAACATCTTTTACAGATGTATATTTTATTTCATCTTTATTCATACAGGTTATTCTCTGAGATAAATTATCTTTTAAAACTATCAGAACTATCAAACTATCAAAATTATCAAAATGATGAAACCCTAACAACCCCCATTGACAGACATCAGTTCACAAGGCTGTGTGTCAGTCAATGAACCATGTCATCACAAGTCATCATGTCAGTGGTCTGGTCAGTCACATCTCACTCACATGTTGACCTGCCAGTCTCTGTAGTTGTTGGCCCCGCAGCACTGCAGTCCCATCTGGATCTCATCTGTGATGAACCTCAGGTCCAGGTCATCCTGGTAACGCACCATGGCAGCCAGCATACCTGACCTCAGGTATCCCTCTATCTGTCCCTGCAGGCTGTAGGCCAAGATGGCCGCTAGGACCTAGGCTACTACTAGGACCAGCACCGTGGCTGAGAAGACCTGGAACAGGCAGCAGTTCTCTCTCAGAGCCCCCACACAGCCTGACAGGCAGAGGGTGGACAGCACCAAGTCCAGCATCACAAACACCAGCATGGGGTCGGTGCTGATCTGTCCTATTTTCTCCTGAGAGAAGGATTCCTTGTTGATGAGCCCCCACAGACCCAGGGCCAGGACCAACAGGCCTAGCACCGTGAAGAGGAGGTTGCTGAAGAACAGGAGGTACTTGAGAAGGCAGTCGCTCAGGGAGAAGGGCCTGCTATGGGCTCTGGGTTCTACCTCCCTGGTTCTACCCTGGTTCTCTGGTCCATCATTAGGTCCTGGTTCTGGAGCCTGTTCTTCTGTGCTGCTGTCCTCACTCCCCTGAAGGACTCCTGACAACTCTCTATCTGTGTCTGTCTTCAGAGAGGAATACAGGATGGACAAAACACAATTAGGTTTCCCTGAGACCAAAACAACGTATCAGGTTCAGTCTATAGTGGTCATTGTCTTTAGGTTTAACCTACTCTCAACCATAGAAATATAATCTATAGAACAGGTCTCCCCATTCAAGTCAAGAATGGCATAATGGGTGGACTGCTAGCCATTGTGAGTGTACCCGTGTGTTTACCAGTCAAATTGACAGGGTTAAAGGTTGCAAGTGCTTTCTAGATTGTTTTTCTATGCTTGCAACGTTGAAGGGTCTGTAAACTTTATTCAGTATGATGTACAGTGAGTATATAACTAACAGCATACAGGTTGTCAGACAGACAGACATACAGACAGACAGACAGACAGACAGTTCCTGTACCTTTGGTTTGAGTGGGCTGGCTCAGACTGTGCGGTCTCTCTCCTCAACCAGGGAAAACGAAACCATCTCATGGACTGGAACCTCCTCATCTTCCTAGCTGCCAGGAAACGGTTCTCCCTCTGTCCTCTCAGAAAATATTCTTCCCCTGTCCTCTCAGAAAATAGTATTCCTCTGTCCTCTCAACTAATCAATGTGTGAGAGGCGGTTCTTCCCCTGTCCTCTCAGAAAATATTATTCCTCTGTCCTCTCAGCTAGTCAGTGTATGAGAGGCAATTCTTCCCCTGTCTTCCAGTCAGTTTAAGAGACTACAGGACAGAGAGGAGAGGAGAGGAGAGGAGAGGAGAGGAGAGGAGAGGAGAGGAGAGGAGAGGAGAGGAGAGGAGAGGAGAGGAGAGGAGAGGAGAGGAGAGGAGAGGAGAGGAGAGGAGAGGAGAGGAGAGGAGAGGAGAGGAGAGGAGAGGAGAGGAGAGGAGAGGAGGCTGTCTGAGGGGAAAGGGAGAGAGTAGAGGAGGTGGAAGCCAGGTCAGTACAGCTCTATGCAGTGTGGTGTGGTGTGTTGGTAGTTAGCTCAGGGCTCCAGCAGACAGACGTGTGTGTATTCACTAGTGCAAACTGTAGCAAAATGATTTGTAACGGAAACAAGAGTTTCTTATTGGACAAATTCATGTAGATCCCTCCCCCGTTTTGGCCCATTGGCTTTAGTTTGGTTCCTAATGAATAAAGCCCAGGGCTCCCAGTGATTCCAGTAACATCATGTGAGAGGGTTAGGGTTAGGGTTAGTCTGTTTGGTTCCTAATGAATACAGCCCAAGTCTCCCAGGGATTCTAGCAGCATCATGTGAGAGTCACAGTGCAGACGATTAAGAAGTAATCAGAGCACGCCTCACTGAGTGTTACGCTCCAGGGTGAAGTTTCCCTTCGGTACAGATCTAGAATCAGCTTAACTTCCCCCAATCCTAACCTTAACCATTAGTGGGGAAAATGCAAAACTGACCCAAGATCAGCGTCTGCTCAGGGCAACTTCACCCGAGTGTTACAGGAAGAAGAGAGGCTCAGAGAACAGACCCCACTTTGATCTAGTGGCGTAAACTACAATATAACATCTAGTGGACTAAAGCTACAAGATAACATCTAGTGGAGTAAAGCTACAATATAACATATAGTGGACTAAAGCTACAATATAACATCTAGTGGACTAAAGCTACAAGATAACATCTAGCGGAGTAAAGCTACAATATAACAACATCTAGTGGACAAAAGCTACAAGATAATAACATCTAGTGGAGTAAAGCTACAAAATATCATCTAGTGGAGTAAAGCTACAAGATAATAACATGGAGTAGAGTAAAGCTACAAGATAATAACATCTAGTGGATGAAAGCTACAAGATAACAACATCTAGTGGAGTAAACTACAATATAACATATAGTGGACTAAAGCTACAATATAACATCTAGTGGACTAAAGCTACAAGATAACATCTAGCGGAGTAAAGCTACAATATAACAACATCTAGTGGATGAAAGCTACAAGATAACAACATCTAGTGGAGTAAACTACAATATAACATATAGTGGACTAAAGCTACAATATAACATCTAGTGGACTAAAGCTACAAGATAACATCTAGCGGAGTAAAGCTACAATATAACAACATCTAGTGGACGAAAGCTACAAGATAATAACATCTAGTGGAGTAAAGCTACAAAATATCATCTAGTGGAGTAAAGCTACAAGATAATAACATGGAGTAGAGTAAAGCTACAAGATAATAACATCTAGTGGATGAAAGCTACAAGATAACAACATCTAGTGGAGTAAACTACAATATAACATATAGTGGACTAAAGCTACAATATAACATCTAGTGGACTAAAGCTACAAGATAACATCTAGCGGAGTAAAGCTACAATATAACAACATCTAGTGGACGAAAGCTACAAGATAATAACATCTAGTAGAGTAAAACTACAAGATAACATCTAGTGGAGTAAAGCTACAAGATAACATCTAGTGGAGTAAAGCTACAAGATAACATCTAGTGGAGTAAAGCTACAAGATAACATCTAGTGGAGTAAAGCTACAAGATAATAACATAGAGTAGAGTAAAGCTACAAAATAACATCTAGTAGAGTAAAACTACAATATAACATCTAGTGGACTAAAGCTACAAGATAACATCTAGTGGAGTAAAGCTACAAGATAATAACATCTAGTGGAGTAAAACTACAAGATAATAACATCTAGTAGAGTAAAGCTACAAAATAACAACATCTAGTGGAGTAAAGCTACAGGATAACATCCAGTGTGGTAAAGCTACAAGGTAATAGCTCAGTTGGTAGAGCATGGCGCTTGCAACGCCAGGGTGGTGGGTTCGTTTCCCACTGGGGGCCAGTATGAAAAATGTATGGACTCACTAACTGTAAGTCGCTCTGAATAAGAGTGTCTGCTAAATGACTAAAATAAAATGAAATGAAATAATAACATACAGTGGAGTAAAGCTACAAGATAACATCTAGTGGAGTAAAGCTACAAGATAATAATATCCAGTGGAGTAAAGCGACAAGATAATAACATAGAGTAGAGTAAAACTACAAGATAACATCTAGTGGAGTAAAGCTACAAGATAACATCTAGTGGAGTAAAGCTACAAGATAACATCTAGTGGAGTAAAGCTACAAGATAACATCTAGTGGAGTAAAGCTACAAGATAACATCTAGTGGAGTAAAGCTACAAGATAACATCTAGTTGAGTAAAGCTACAAGATAACATCCATGATGCTAGCTGGACTCTTAATATCACTATGTACTGATGGATAAAAACTGTAACCATGGAAATGTATTATGATTATAATGTCCTTGACTGTAATACAACCAAAGGACGTCAGCCTACTGTCTTGGAATGCTTTTCTGGATGATTTTCATAACGGGACTCAGGTGAAGGAGAATCAGCCAAAGAAGGTGCAATGTGCAGTAGTCTATAAATAACAACGGAGGCAGATTGATTTATAACAATACAGTGACCCCCCCCCCCCCTCTCTCTCTCTGTCTATCTCTCTCTCTCACACACACACACACACACACACACAAACACACACACACACACACACACACACACACACACACACACACAAACACACACACACACAACACAACCTCATGTAATAGGAAAAGTATGATCTTGATTATTGTTCTATCCACCCTTTATGGTTGTGAGGTGTGTGCCAGGTGATAGTATTACCTCAAATTGACTTGGTCATTAAAATAATGAACTCAGCTCTTAAATCATTTATCTCCTGATTGATTTGTTTGGTCTGATCTCCTCTGTAATGATGGGCCCTTTATCCAATTAAGGAAGCAGATTTCTGATATTATGATTATTGTGTATTTTCTCCATCACTGTTATAGTAATAAGGTTGTCTGAGCCGATTTAGAGCAAAAGTAATCTTCAATTAGGTGGTCCGTGTAATTGAATCAATGAGTACACAGAACAAAATGGGGATGGATTGTTAGTACAACAATTAATATAACAAAGGCTGATTTATTTTCTCTCCAAAAAATGTCTCAAGCTTTATTCTGAGTTTGTTCCAACCAATCCAATGCTGCTGATAGTTGTGTAAAAACTCACATGTTCCTCCAATTAGCCAACAGTTTAATAAGGCCCGTAACCTGAGCCAAGCTAAGCTCCTGGTCATCACAACTTGTACAGCTGCTCCCAGTTACCACTCCACCACACAGACAGACATGCACACTGAGGCATCTACAAAACACACCTTCAGCACTCAATAGAACATGGACATGACGTATCAAAATGGCCGCTTGACAGTGAGTAGGAAAATACTATCTACAGTATAAAAAAGCAGGCAGTATAAATTAACATGATGCAATGCATCTCATAGAGAATTGTTGTTAAGAGTTAACAATTCACAGATACATTATTGTAATACTGCACTAGGTAAATATATAATACAGGAAAATGTATTCTGAGTAGGGTGTGTCTAAGAGATTAGGAACCCTAGGAACTGCAGAACTATACTCTGGAAAAGAAGGATCAGACATTTATACAGCGGGTACTGTTAGTTGGGAAAAGAAAGATCAGACATTTATACAGCAGGTACTGGTAGTTGGGAAAAGAAAGATCAGACATTTATACAGCAGGTACTGGTAGTTGGGAAAAGAAGGATCAGACATTTCTAGAGCAGGTACTGGTAGCTGGGAAAAGAAGGATCAGATATTTCTAGAGCAGGTACTGGTAGTTGGGAAAAGAAGGATCAGACATTTCTAGAGCTGCTACTGGTAGTTTGGAAAAGAAGGATCAGTCATTTATACAGCGGGTACTGGTAGTTGGGAAAAGAAGGATCAGACATTTATAAAGCGGGTACTGGTAGTTTGGAAAAGAAGGATCAGACATTTCTAGAGCAGGTACTGGTAGTTGGGAAAAGAAGGATCAGACATTTCTAGTGCAGGTACTGGTAGTTGGGAAAAGAAGGATCAGACATTTCTAGAGCAGGTACTGGTAGTTTGGAAAAGAAGGATCAGACTTTCTAGATCAGGTACTGTTAGTTTGGAAAAGACAGATCAGACATTTCTAGAGCAGGTACTGGTGATTTGGAAAAGAAGGATCAGACATTTCTAGAGCAGGTATTGGTAGTTGGGATAAAAGGATCAGACATTTCTAGAGCAGGTACTGGTAGCTGGGAAAAGAAGGATCAGACATTTCTAGAGCAGGTGCTGGTAGTTGGGAAAAGAAGGATCAGACATTTATACAGCGGGTTCTGGTAGTTGGGAAAAGAAGGATCAGATATTTCTAGAGCAGGTACTGGTAGTTGGGAAAAGAAGGATCAGACATTTCTAGAGCAGGTACTGGTAGTTGGGAAAAGAAGGATCAGACATTTCTAGAGCTGGTACTGGTAGTTTGGAAAAGAAGGATCAGACATTTCTAGAGCTGGTACTGGTAGTTTGGAAAAGAAGGATCAGACATTTCTAGAGCAGGTACTGGTAGTTGGGAATAGAAGGATCAGACATTTCTAGAGCAGGTACTGGTAGTTGGGAAAAGAAGGATCAGACATGTATACAGCGGGTACTTGTAGTTGGGAAAAGATGGATCAGACATTTATACAGCGGGTACTGGTAGTTGGTAAAAGAAGGATCAGACATTTCTAGAGCAAGTACTGGTAGTTGGGAAAAGAAGGATCAGACATTTCTAGAGCAGGTACTGGTAGTTGGGAAAAGAAGGATCAGACATTTCTAGAGCAGGTACTGGTAGTTGGGAAAAGAAGGATCATACATGTATCCAGCCTGTACTGGTAGTTCGGAAAAGAAGGATCAGACATTTATACAGCGTGTACTTGTAGTTGGGGAAAAATGGATCAGACATTTATACAGAGGGTACTGGTAGTTTGGAAAAGAAGGATAAGACATTTCTAGAGCAGGTACTGGTAGTTGGGAAAAGAAGGATCAGACATTTCTAAAGCAGGTACTGGTAGTTGGGAAAAGAAGGATCAGACATTTCTAGAGCAGGTACTGGTAGTTGGGAAAATAAGGATCAGACATTTCTAGAGCAGATACTGGTAGTTGGGAAAAGAAGGATCAGACATTTCTAGAGCAGGTACTGGCAGTTGGGAAAAGAAGGATCAGACATTTCTAGAGCAGGTACTGGCAGTTGGGAAAAGAAGGATCAGACATTTATAGAGCAGGTACCGGTAGTTGGGAAAAGAAGGATCAGACATTTCTACAGCAGGTACCGGTAGTTGGTAAAAGCACTATAATCCCTGAATGAGTAAAGTGACAATAGTTTAACTTAACATGGCAGAAAATCAGAAAGAACTGTTAGATGTCAGATAGAAATAAATCCCACAGGAGGAAGTATGTGTGGGAGACTTCACTATACACTAAAGGGAGAGGGACGTAGACTGGCTAGTGTGTTAGTGGAACACTACAATGTACTGGCTAGTGTGTTAGTGGAACACTACAATGTATTGGCTAGTTGGTTAGTGGAACACTATAATGTATTGGCTAGTGTGTTAGTGGAACACTACAATGTAGTGACTAGTGTGTTAGTGGAACACTACAATGTACTGGCTAATGTGTTAGTGGAACACTACAATGTAGTGGCTAGTGTGTTAGTGGAACACTATAATGTAGTGGTCAGAGAGAGTAATGTAAAATGAGACACCAAACATGTCCTCCATGACATCAGAGATGGTACATGTCCACTTTGGATTCAGGAGACCAGACCACAACAATACAAACAAACAGTCAGGCAGCCCCCAAAATATATTGTTGTTGTTGTTGTCTGACATTGATCAGTCCAAATTCTGCTGTGATCTAACCAGTTGCTACGGAGACTCCCTCTGTAATTGTAGCTGACGACAGACAGAGAGGATTGTGGGTGTTGTAGAACTCAGATGATTCCGTACTGCGCCAGCTCATGCAGCTCCATGTGACTGTAAGCCTCCCAAGGGCAGATCTGAAATGGAAATTGGGTTTTTATTTTAGAACTACGGGCAGGATTCAATCTCCAACGCGTTTAAATCTAAAGGTAATTTCTGATTGAGCCGACATACAGTATGCAGCAGTTACCGTGAATGCAGTCTCCGTGAATGCTGTGACGTGGATCTACCATGAAACTTCGGTGATACAGATTGAATCCAGCCTTAAGTCTTGTTTTTCAATGTCAGTCAGCCAGAAGTTATATTTTATTTTATTTTATTAGATCACTGTTGATAATGGCGCTGGAGAAGATGGAGCCGGAGAAGATGGCTGCCGTTTTACAGCCCTCTAACCAATTGTACTATTATGTGTATTTTTTCACGTTATTTGTAATTTATTCTGTACATAATGTTTCTGCCACCATCTCTAATGACCAAAAAGAGCTTCTGGATATCAGGACAGCGATTACTCACCTCGAATTGGACGAAGATTTTTTCTTCAACGAGTTGGACGCGAAGTATATCCTACAGACACCCGACAAGGCCCAAATCCCCGTCATTCGCATGAGAAAGAGACAGAGATATCGTGGACATTGGTCGGAGTGCCTTGTAAATCCAATCCAATCAAATTTTATTTGCCACATGCATCTAATACAACAGGTGTAGACATTACAGTGAAATGCTTACTTACAAGCCCTTAACCAACAATGCAAAGTAGAATAAAAATAAAAAGTGTTAAGTAAAAAAAAAAAAATGCAAATGACTAAAGAGCAGCAGTAAAATAAAATAACAGTAGGGAGGCTATATACGGGGGGGGGGGGGGGGGCACCAACTAGTCGAGGTAATTGAGGTAATATGTACATGTGGGTAGAGTTAAAGTGACTATGCATAAATAATAAACAGAGTAGCAGCAGAGTAAAAAAGGGGGACGGGGTGGGGGTGGGGGGGCAGTGCAAATTGTCCGGGTAGCCATGATTAGCTGTTCAGGAGTCTTATGGCTTGGGGGTAGAAGCTGTTGAGAAGCCTTTTGGACCTAAACTTGGCGCTCCGGTACCGCTTGCCGTGCGGTAGCAGAGAGAACAGTCTATGGCTAGGGTGGCTGGAGTCTTTGACAATTTCTAGGGCCTTCCTCTGACACCGCCTGGTATAGAGGTCCTGGATGGCAGGAATCTTGGCCCCAGTGATGTACAGGGCTGTACGCACTACCCTCTGTAGTGACTTGCGGTTTGAGGCCGAGCAGTTGCCATACCACGCGGTGATGCAACCTGTCAGGATGCCGAGTCACTGGTGCTTCCTGCTTTAGTTTTTGCTTATAAGCAGGAATCAGGAGGATAGAGTTATGGTCAGATTTGCCAAATGGAGGGCGAGGGAGAGCTTTGTATGCGTCGCTGTGTGTGGAGTAAAGGTGGTCTAGAGTTTTTTTTTCCTCTGGTTGCACATTTAACATGCTGGTAGAAATTATGTAGAACGGATTTAAGTTTCCCTGCATTAAAGTCCCCAGCCACTAGGAGCGCTGCCTCTGGATGAGCGTTTTCCTGTTTACTTATACAGCTCAACAATTAGTTGTTATTAATGCTGAAATGATACTGAGTCCAACATCTAATGTTAATAATAGAGAACAGTTTAAACCATGTAATAATGACAGCTACAAACTCTCTAAACATTGACCTGTTTTCTGCATCCTCAGTTAAAATGGAGGCCGGTGTTCTAGGCTGAAATACCTGGCTGCTTCTCTTTCTCTGTCACTTTCTCTCCCTCCTCCGTGTCTTCAAGGGTCCCTCGTTCCACTCCACATCCCTCCATCCTCCTCTATCTTGGTTTAAATAGTTTCCAGATTCACCCTAATTCAGTGCTGTGAACAGTTCTACCTACATTTATATCATAATAACAACATGCTCTTCAATGTAAAGCTACAGTAAACTGCTAGGTCATCTCTGGTTGGTCAGAATCCTTTTTATGATAATAAACCTGGTAAGGATTCTGGGCTCCTCTGTCTTGGTTCAATTTAAACAATGATTCTCCTGATTCCCCCTCATTTAGTGCTGCTAACACTGATGCTCATCAACATGCTCAAATACAAACGCTTGTTCTTTACAATGCTCTTTATTGAATATCCACAATACAGCAAAGCTATAACATTTCCTCTATTCATCATTAGTAATTCAACTCATTTCCCAATAGTAGAGAGGTCTACTCATCATGACAGTATTTCAGATGTTATGTTTTAGAGAACATGATGCTCGTACAGTGAATGCATCAATAGTAACTTGTCATGAGAAACAACCCTAAACAACTATTTGACATTACATTGGTTATTGATATACTATTCACTGCTGCATTCAGACTTCAGCCAAATATCACCCATGTTGTTTGGATTTTAACTCCTATATTTGACAGCAAAGCAATGATCAAAACATCACTTAAAAGCTATAAACTACCAACTGCACTCATTAAATATTGAAACTATTGCTTTACAGACTGCAAATAGTCTTTCTGATCTCTTTCTCAGAGAATGTTGACCCCAATGACACTTTACATGTGAACACCACGTCCTTGTCCCACTCTGCAGTCTGAATGGTCAGATAGCTGCTGATCTTGAAGGTTTTGTCTGGTTGCTGCTCAGCAGGACTGGTAGAAACATCTTCTGTCACTGATTCACCGTTAGACATCCAGCTGACATCTGCAAACCCCTTGGACCTCTGAGACAGGTTACTGGCCAGACACACTAGTGTTGCTCTGCTGGACTTGAGGTCTTCAGTGGATGGAGGGAACAGGGTCACAGCAGGTGTAGAAAGATCTCCATCTAGATTAGAAAATAGTCAATGGATGGGATGAGAAGGGAACAGATTTGATAACAGTTTATATTTCAGTAGATGTTGGTATCATTACCAGTACACCCTGCATTAAGAGGAAACTGACGCAGCAATTAAATATAGAACTGCTGTTCATTATATTCACAATTATAATCATCCAGTGTTAAAAATGTTATTTCCCCATTAAGCAGAGAGACAGAGCAATTTCTGGATACATTATTTACAATATTACATCACAGTCCTGGAAGACTAAAATGGAAAAAGCTGAATGAAATGTGCACATTGTAAATATAAAATACAAATAATTCACAAGCAAATGGAATATTAAAAAAAAAATATATATATATATATATTTGTCTAAGAAATTGAGCTGGATAACATTTCTGGAGATTAAATATCTCCTTTGAATGGATCTATATAGACTACAAAAACACAAGACATGCATGATAAAACATGAACATAGCAGGCATTCACACTGTCATCAAAATGTTTTATAAATAATTTACGAACAACATACGAGACAGGATTAAAGCAGGTGCAAAACTTTAAATCAGTAAATATATAATATAAATTCCATTTTATGAATTAAAACATAAAAATATATATATCTCTGACCAATATTATATTAGAAACAAAGCATATTCTGTAGATTAAAACATTAGAAGGGTACTCACCAGTAACAATCAGCTTGGTTCCTGGTCCGAATACCACAGTGTTTCAGTTTGTATACACGGCCGTACAAAAACCTCCTCACTCTTACTACTGAGAGGACAGGAACTGAAACATCCCATTCAGACAGAGCTTCACTCTCTCCAGAAATATCTCTGGCTTTTCTAGAGTTTCTCTCTATGAAGTAACAGTATATGGTATAGCATCATATTCTGCTGTTGGTGTCTGGTCCTTTTGAATCCATGAGTTAAAGCACTATCTACAGTGGGGAAAAAAAGTATTTAGTCAGCCACCAATTGTGCAAGTTCTCCCACTTAAAAAGATGAGAGAGGCCTGTAATTTTCATCATAGGTACACGTCAACTATGACAGACAAAATTTACATTTACATTTTAGTCATTTAGCAGACGCGACTTACAGTTAGTGAATACATTTTTTTTTTTTATACTGGCCCCACGTGGGAATCGAACCCACAACCCTGGCATTGCAAACGCCATGCTCTATCAACTGAGCTACATCCCTGCCGGCCATTCCTTCCCCTACCCTGGACGACGCTGGGCCAATTGTGCGCCGCCCATGAGTCTCCTGGTCGCGGCCGGCTGCGACAGAGCCTGGATTCGAACCAGGATCTCTAGTGGCACAGTTAGCACTGCGATGCAGTGCCTTAGACCACTGCGCCACTCAGGAAAAAATGATATTTTTTTTCTCCAGAAAACCACATTGTAGTATTTTTAATGAATTTATTTGCAAATTATGGTGGAAAATAAGTATTTGGTCAATAACAAAAGTTTCTCAATACTTTGTTATATACCCTTTGTTGGCAATGACACAGTTCAAACGTTTTCTGTAAGTCTTCACAAGGTTTTCACACACTGTTGCTGGTATTTTGGCCCATTCCTCCATGCAGATCTCCTCTAGAGCAGTGATGTTTTGTGGCTGTCGCTGGGCAACACAGACTTTCAACCCCCTCCAAAGATTTTCTATGGGGTTGAGATCTGGAGACTGGCTAGGCCACTCCAGGACCTTGAAATGCTTCTTACGAAGCCACTCATTCGTTGCCCGGGCGGTGTGTTTGGGATCATTGTCATGCTGAAAGACCCAGCAACGTTTCATCTTCAATGCCCTTGCTGATGGAAGGAGGTTTTCACTTAAAATCTCACGATACTTGGCCCCATTCATTCTTTCCTTTACCAAGAGAGCCAACATCAGTTTCCTTTCAGACAATGTCTTCTTATGCTCTTTTTGACATGTAGAGATGGAAGGTTCTTCCATTTCCAGATCTCCCATTGTGTCATGTATATATTGTTATAATAATGACTGATCAACTTCAACTGCTGTTTCTTAGAGTTCACCCCTCTGCCACGCATAAAGCAGAAGTGAGTGTATTTGGTGAGGAGGTTTTTGTCATGGTGTATATCACTGTGATACTCGCATATTGCCATCATGTGTCTGACAGTAATACACTGCTGAGTCGGACTCCTCCACATTGTTAATAATCAAACGATAATCTGATTTAGACTGATGATTTGATGTGAATTTAGGAGAGGAGAAACCAGAGCCATAATTTACAGAGCTCCAAACAATGTGGTACCAACTTAACATGTACTGAGGGACTCCTCCTGGAACCTGTTTATACCAACGAGCATTATTCTCAACAGTCCCCAGGTTACAGTCCATAGTGGCCGTGTCTCCTTTCCTCACCGTCACAACAGGAGGCTTCTGTGTCACCACAGTCACACCACTGACACCTGGGACATAAGAAGATTACATGTAGTAAAGAGAAACATACAGACTCATTATTAATAAAACATGAAGTAAAACCTCAAGGAAGTCAGACTCCTTACATGTTAGAGCAGTGATGAGAGTGCAGAGTGTCCCCAGCATGTTGTCAGTGTGTGGTGTGAACGGCCCTTACTGTCCAGCTGAGAGATGAGCAGGGTTGGAGTGTGAGAAGAGGAGAAGCTGCAGGACCCACCTATAAGGAGACAGACAGAGAGGACCAGAGGGAGGGGCCTCTACAGTTAACCTATCACCAAGTAAGGGAGGACCAGAGGGAGGGGTCTCTACAGTTAACCTATCACCAGCTACTCTCATTGTTGATTGACATATCTGGGGCTTCACAAGACCAACAGACAGATCTTAAAAGAATAATGTTATATATCATATATATATATATAATAATTATTTTTCATTGTCATTTATCTGAATGGTTAAAGTAACCAGATTGTATGAGAGACCAACTAGTATGATCATTGCTCTACGTGAGGTCCTGTCTTTATCACTGACTCATATTCTACCTCCATCAAACCATAACTGGAGTTTAATATCCTATACTAGTTCTACACAGGGCCAACATAAGGAGGATTGATCTTTATTTATATTTATCAGAACCCAATGAACCTTTGTCAAATGTGGTGCACTTTAAAGGGAATAGAGCACCATTAAATCAAATCAAATCAAATCAAGTTTTATTTGCCACATGCGCCGAATACAACAGGTGTAGACATTACAGTGAAATGCTTACTTACAGCCCTTAACCAACAATGCATTTATTTTTTAATAAAAAAGTAAAATAAAACAACAACAACAAAAAGGGTGGCAGGTAGCTTAGTGGTTAAGAGCATAGTGCCAGTAACCGAAAGGTCGCTGGTTCTAATCCCCGAGCCGACTAGGTGAAAAATCTGTCGTTGTGCCCTTGAGCAAGGCACTTAACCCTAATTGCTCCTGTAAGTCGCTCTGGATAAGAGCGTCTGCTAAATGACTAAAAATAAATAAATAAAATGTTGAGAAAAAAAGAGCAGAAGTAAACTAAAATAACAGTAGGGAGGCTATATACAGGGGGTACCGGTGCAGAGTCAATGTGCGGGGGCACCGGCAAGTTGAGGTAGTTGAGGTAATATGTACATGTGGGTAGAGTTAAAGTGACTATGCATAAATAATTAACAGAGTAGCAGCAGCGTAAAAAGATGGGGTGGGGGTTGGGGGCAGTGCAAATAGTCCGGGTAGCCATGATTAGGGACACAGTCTCAGTTTCAGTCCTCTCCCCGCCCCCCCCCACACAGTTCTGAGAGGAGATAAAATAACCTCTTCATTTACATGAAGCTATAAATAAGGAGAGGAGGAGGGGAGGAGGAGGGGAGGGGAAGCAGGTGTGTCCTGGGGGAGAAAGAGAGCAACACATCACTGCCTGTAACTCAGTGTCAGAGCTAGAACACGTCCCTGTTGAATGACTCTGATAACTACAGATAGTAGACATGAAACCATCAGCTGGTCTTTGGGTGGGACTGAAACCAGTGGTCTACAGACAGCTGGTCCTGTTGTAAAGCACATGTAGATCTTTCCTCAGTCATTATTGGTGGTCCTATGTCCTCCTCTGGTGGACGTTGACAGAACTGCAGCTTCTATTCCACGAGGTGGAAGCATATTACAAGACGTTTCTCTCTAGTGAAATCCTGTCTTTAAATCCTGTCTTTTTTTTTTTTTTTATAGACGTTTCTCTCTATAAAAATGTTATTGTACATTGTAGTAAGGAGTACGTTTATAACACTATTGAATATTATTACAATAAATTATGAATATATTGAATATATCATGCTATTGTACTGTTGTTTAATTTATTTGAGATTCTTCAAATAGCAACCCTTTGCTTGTGAGGGTTTGACTGTGGTTAGGCCTTACTCCCACTAGGGGGGGGTGTAGGACCACAGTCAAGTCCTCACATCATAACTAGGGGTGGTTTATGACCCCCAATCAGAGACAGCTGTCTAGAGTTTGTCTCTGATTGGGGATAGTATTTAGGCACCTCTCACATCCACCTGTGTGTGGATTATTGTTCCTGTTTGTGCCTGTCTGCAATTGTGTTCACAGCACGTAAGTCACTTGGTGCTTTTCTCTCCTTGTTTATTTTTGATAACTTATAGTGTGATAAGTTTAAATAAAAAGGATGTCACTCCACGAACGCTTCATCTACCGTCCCTTAACTACGCATTGTGACATTGCCTTGATGACAGCTTTGCACACTCTTGGCATTCTCTCAAACAGCTTCATGAGTCCCATGTAGGTCAGTTGGTAGAGCATGGCGCTTGCAACGCCAGGGTTGTGGGTTCGTTTCCCACGGGGGGCCAGTATGAAAATGTATGCACTCACTAACTGTAAGTCGCTCTGGATGAGAGCGTCTGCTAAATGACTAAAATGTAATGAGGTAGTCACCTGGAATGCATTTCAATTAACAGGTGTGCCTTCTTAAAAGCTAATTTGTGGAATTTCTTTCCTTCTTAATGCGTTTGAGCCAATCAGTTGTGTTGTGACAAGGTAGGGGGGGTATACAGAAGATAGCCATATTTGGTAAAAGCCCAAGTCCATATTATGGCAAGAACAGCTCAAATAAGCAAAAAGAAACGACAGTCCATCATTACTTTAAGACATAAATGTCAAGAACTTTTAAAGTTTCTTCAAGTGCAGTCGCAAAAACCATCAAGCGCTATGATGAAACTGGCTCTCATGAGGACCGCCACAGGAATGGAAGACCCAGAGTTACCTCTGCTGCAGAGGATAAGTTCATTTTTATTTTTATTTTTTATTTTATTTTTATTTTTCACCTTTATTTAACCAGGTAAGCCAGTTGAGAACAAGTTCTCATTTACAACTGCGACCTGGCCAAGATAAAGCAAAGCAGTGCGATAAAAACAACAACACAGAGTTACATATGGGGTAAAAGAAAACAAAGTCAAAAATACAACAGAAAAAATATATATATATACAGTGTGTGCAAATGTAGCAAGTTATGGAGGTAAGGCAATAAATAGGCTATAGTGCAAAATAATTACAATTAGTATTAACACTGGAATGATAGATGTGCAAGAGATGATGTGCAAATAGAGATACTGGGGTACAAATGAGCAAAATAAATAACAATATAGGGATGAGGTAGTTGGGCGGGCTAATTTCAGATGGGCTGTGTACAGGTGCAGTGATCGGTAAGGTGCTCTGACAACTGATGCTTAAAGTTAGTGAGGGAGATAAGTGTCTCCAGCTTCAGAGATTTTTGCAATTTGTTCCAGTCATTGGCAGCAGAGAACTGGAAGGAATGGCGGCCAAAGGAGGTGTTGGCTTTGGGGATGACCAGTGAGATATACCTGCTGGAGCGCATACTACGGGTGGGTGTCACTATGGTGACCAATGAGCTAAGATAAGGCGGGGATTTGCCTAGCAGTGATTTATAGATGGCCTGGAGCCAGTGGGTTTGGCGACGAATATGTAGTGAGGACCAGCCAACAAGAGCGTACAGGTCACAGTGGTGGGTAGTGTATGGGGCTTTGGAGACAAAACGGATGGCACTGTGATAGACTACATCCACTTTGCTGAGTAGAGTGTTGGAGGCTATTTTGTAAATGACATCTCCAAATTCAAGGATCGGTAGGATAGTCAGTTTTACGAGGGCATGTTTGGCAGCATGAGTGAAGGAGGCTTTGTTGCGAAATAGGAAACCGATTCTAGATTTAACTTTGGATTGGAGATTCTTAATGTGAGTCTGGAAGGAGAGTTTACAGTCTAACCAGACACCTAGGTATTTGTAGTTGTCCACATACTCTAGGTCAGACCCGTCGAGAGTAGTGATTCTAGTCGGGTGGGCGGGTGCAAGCAGCGTTCGGTTGAAGAGCATGCATTTAGTTTTACTAGTGTTTAAGAGCAGTTTGAGGCTACTGAAGGAGTGTTGTATGGCATTGAAGCTCGTTTGGAGGTTTGTTAACACAGTGTCCAATGAAGGGCCAGATGTATACAAAATGGTGTCGTCTGCGTAGAGGTGGATCTGAGAGTCACCAGCAGCAAGAGCGACATCATTGATATACACAGAGAAAAGAGTCGGCCCAAGAATTGAACCCTGTGGCACCCCCATAGAGACTGCCATAGGTCCAGACAACAGGCCCTCCGATTTGACACATTGAACTCTATCTGAGAAGTAGTTGGTGAACCAGGCGAGGCAGTCATTTGAGAAACCAAGGCTGTTTAGTCTGACAATAAGAATGCGGTGGTTGACAGAGTCGAAAGCCTTGGCCAGGTCAATGAAAATGGCTGCACAGTACTGTCTATTATCGATCGCGGTTATAATATCGTTTAGGACCTTGAGCGTGGCTGAAGTGCACCCATGACCAGCTCGGAAACCGGATTGCATAGCGGAGAAGGTACGGTGGAATTCGAAATGGTCGGTGATCTGTTTGTTAACTTGGCTTTCAAAAACTTTTGAATGGCAGGGCAGGATGGATATGGGTCTGTAACAGTTTGGATCTAGAGTGTCACCCCCTTTGAAGAGGGGGATGACCGCGGCAGCTTTCCAATCTCTGGGGATCTCAGACGTTACGAAAGAGAGGTTGAACAGGCTAGTAATAGGGGTTGCGACAATTTCGGCGGCTAGTTTTAGAAAGAAAGGGTCCAGATTGTCTAGCCCAGATGATTTGTAGGGGTCCAGATTTTGCAGCTCTTTCAGAACATCAGCTGTCTGGATTTGTGTGAAGGAGAAGCGGGGGGGGGCATGGGCAAGTTGCAGCGGAGGGTGCAGAGCTGGTGGCCGGGGTAGTGGTAGCCAGGTGGAAAGCATGGCCAGCCGTAGCAAAATGCTCTTTGAAATTCTCGATTATTGTAGATTTATCGGTGGTGATAGTGTTTCCTAGCCTCAGTGCAGTGGGCAGCTGGGAGGAAGTGCTCTTATTCTCCATGGACTTTACAGTGTCCTAAAACATTTTGGAGTTAGTGCTACAGGATGCAAATTTCTGTTTGAAAAAGTTAGCCTTTGCTTTCCTAACTGCTTGTGTATATTGGTTCCTAACTTCCCTGAAAAGTTGCATATCGCGGGGGCTATTTGATGCTAATGCAGTACGCCACAGGATGTTTTTGTGCTGGTCAAGGGCAGTCAAGTCTGAGGAGAACCAGGGGCTATATCTGTTCTTAGTTCTGTATTTTTTGAATGGGGCATGTTTATTTAAGATTGAGAGGAAATTACTTTTAAAGAACAACCAGGCATCCTCTACTGACGGAATGAGATCTATATCCATCCAGGATACCTGGGCCAGGTCAATTAGGAAGGCCTGCTCGCTGAAGTGTTTTTGGGAGCATTTGACAGTGATGAGGGGTGGTCGTTTGACCGCGGACCCGTTACGGACGCAGGCAATAAGGCAGTGATCGCTGAGATCCTGGTTGAAGACAGCGGAGGTGTATTTAGAGGGTAAGTTAGTCAGGATGATATCTATGAGGGTACC